TGATGCTTTCTCAGCAATAGGAAGTGATCTTCTCCAATCCCACCCCTGGGAATCTCTCTCTTCAGTGCTGATTCTACAAATCCTTCAAATACTTTCTAGGAGAGTGTTTTTTTTTTGCTATTTGGATATAACGTACAGATCTATTCAGATATATCAATCTTCCACTATGCACCCCACTTCGTGTTTGGGCCCTCAATCGACCCATTTAGTTATTTGTGACACGTGAAAATCCACTAATGTCTTGGCTGTCAGTCGGTCATAAACTTCACTGTCCTCCCATCAGGCCCACTCGACTACTCGGAGCAGAATTACCTGTGCTAATGTAAGGATTTTAAACACATGCACGTAAACCATGCCTCTTACATATTTTTATGCCCTGTGAAATATCACCCCCCAAAGTGCTTTTACACCCAAAAATTCCAACGTAAGGCGCTCTAATGGATGACTGAAAGCTACATCCCCCCTTAACCAGACTGAAAGCTCATTAGTCCAAGAATCAATAAAGATAGCCAGCTGTGATTTTCTTTTGAAACTCAAAAATGGGCTAATTATTTCCTATGTCAATTAACTGGCTAAACTGACCAGTTTCTCTGCTGCCTTCTGCCACTCCGGTACATTCACAATGGCATTTTACATTCATTTTTTCAATGACTGTGTTTTTTAATAAAAAAAATAGTTATTGTGCCATGGTGATGCTGCAATGTTTATTCCAAAGGTCTACGTGGTGTTTGTCTTGCTGTTCACGTATAATCTTTCTGGAGGGTTAAGCCAAACACGCTCTTTAACAATGAATATTTTTTTGTGACCCACCGTATGAAGGTTTGTGTTTCCAGCCAACAGAAGCGATAATATGTGCTTGCTGTACTGCGTTAAATAAATATGATCTCTTGTCCTCCCTTCTCTCGCACATCTTCCCCTTTTCTCCCTGTCAACCTTTCTTTTCTGATGTGTGTGGGGTTTTTTTTTTTTGCTTTCTGACACTTCTTGTCTGTTTGCCTGTCAGGGTTCCCCCTCCTCTCGTTATGCCTGTCCTACAGCGCGCCCCATGTTCCCTTTCACTTATGCCTTCCCCTTCGTTACTTGTTGCTTCTATTCATTGTCTGTTTCTGCCTATTCCTGTTTCCTCTGCTTTCCCCCCGTTATCCTTATTCTCTTTCCCTGGCTGGTCTCTCTCTCTCTCTCTCTCTCTCTCTCTCTCGCCTGCGCCTTCTCCTTAAGTGTCGAAAATGCGCTGAAGTGCGAAAATGAGCCTGTGAACTGCTCGTTTTGGTAATTAAACTTTGACAAGAACAGTGACAAGAAGCGATCGAGGGGAAACAATGGCAACAGTGTTCAAATGATTCGGGCAAGCAATGCTCAATCTGGGAAAGGTCTTTTGTTTTTGGTGAACAAAAGCATTTGTTTACATGTGTTAACTTCAACAGTCTGCTCCTTGATGTCACAGAACCAGGTGCACATACAACTGGCACAAGAACATCACAACTCATCACACCTTTACAAGGCTGATGGGGAGTCATTCGTCAGAATTAATAAGTCCCGATTCCCCGTGTATGCACCACATCAAAGTTATTGCGTTACAACGTAAATATTGTTGCTCTAAAACAAATTAAAAATCATTATTTCCGAGGCCCGAACGCGCAGCGCTGTCAGATGAATTAGAGCAAGAATTTTTTTAAAAAATCACCCTCTTAGCTGCTTGTTTTGGGGTTCAAGGAATTGTAAGAATTTAGCTTCTTCGGTTAATTATGGAGACGTGAAAATGGGCGTCGGCTATTAAACATGTTAATATATTTGTATCTTTGTGTTGCTGCTTTTTTTAATATAATAGTAATAATAATATGAATACTTGCATTTGATGCAGCGCCTTATCACGTCGTTGAAACGTCTCAAAGCGTTTCACAGAATATATGGTGAAGTGGATTGACTGTGTACTTTTTTACCCTTGTGCTGTGCAAAAATGTTATCTTTTGTGCAAGAAAGAAAACAGCTTGATCGAAGCATATCATTGCTTTTTTAAGATCTTGCGTTCAATTATTACGCTCTCTGGTGGTGGGGGGGAACCTCAAAAACATTTCAAATTCATTTCATTTACGACCACTCGGGAGCTGAGTGTATATTGTACTGTACTTGGGGCAAAGTGCATAGGCAAACGTGTGTGAAACACAGTCAGATGCCTCAGTGTTCATTGTCACTCCCAGCACTAGTCGAATTGCTGCACCTACAACTAACTGCAGTGACTGTAATAAGGTATCAAATTGTTAACACTATACAATTCGCCATCAATGAGATTAACCTACCCTGGGAATTGTGGTGTTTCCACCCACCCCTCACCCCGCGAGAGTGACAACAAAACCTGACTAAATATATTACAGATTTGCCTGTTTCTGATGCACTAATCCACCATTTACTTAAAGAGCTCTACTGTACTGCATTTGTCGAAACCTTGCGAGGTTTACAACTGGATTCCTCGCGGGTCCCATGGGCACTGCCTGTGCAGGATGTTTAAATACATTTTGGAATAAATTTGTATTGTTTTATACCCTTCTAGTACAGTACAATCAGGCGAAGGAAGAGGAAATCCTGTGTTTTCAGTAGTGTTGATGTGTGGTAGCCAACAGTTGGATGACTAGAAGGCTGATCAGATGGGTTTGTGCAACCAGCCGTGCGAATGTGGAGTTATCTGGGCACAGGGCCGAGAGCAGATGTAGAAAGAAGGGATGGATATGGGACATGGAGAAGGCGGATGGATGAAATTAAGTGGTGAGAATGAGCAAGATGCGCATGAGAGAGCAGCTGTGGTGCAAAAGAGCGGGCTGGTATCTTAACGAGATCTGAAAAGGAAATCAAGCAAATCTGTTAATGTGGGGGCAAAGAGCTTCTAGAGAGAGAGAGGGGGGGGGGTGGGTGGTGGTGGTGGGGAGAGACTTGCAAAACCCAACATATAAGCTTTCTTTGCAAAATAACTCCTTTCGAAACGACAAGGGAAAATACAATTAGTACAATGGTAGTGGGGGGGGGGGGGGGAATGAGCTCTCAATTAGAAAAAAGGTAACCAGGTTATTCATTTTAAAAAAACTGTACAAAAAACTGTTTTAGTCCATGACTCTTCACCCGAAAGGACACAAAATGCACATTTTTTTTTAAATTATGGGAAATGTGACTTTCTAACCTAGTTTATCCAACACAGAGAATTTGACATTAAGTATTGATAACCTAGACTGGAAACCTAAAGCGAAAAAATACTGTTCTTTTAAAAAAAAAAATCAAGTACCAGGTGCAATTTAATATTAACCATTTACTGTTTATCGATTTTGTGTAATCAAAAAAGTAAAGGATTCGTACATCGAAAGGGAAAGCTCAGTTGCTCGGTTTAGAACGAAAGAATAAACTAACCCTGGTGACATGGACTGAATAGTTTTTTTTTGCATACTTTATATAACTAAGTTAAGCAATCTTGCGATTTAATTGCCAAAGCTGCTCAGTGGGCAGAAGGGCTTTGGTCGCTGTCAAACCCTTTTCTATCAATGATGCCATTTGGAAGGGATATTTCACACCCATACTCCAAACGAGTGCGTGTGTTTGAATGAAACGGCGTAATCCAGGCATTGGGAAAGAGACACACCTGCAATAAAACAGCCGCTCTTACACATGTTCACCATAACGAAAAGTCAGAACAACAAATGTACTCAAAACCTGGTTTCTATGCTGTGTCACTGGGGCACTCCTTCCACACGTCACTGCAGTTACACACTCTGACTCTTGCACACTCCAGTCACTGCTGAACACACACACACACACTCCACGATTACCTTTTTTTTCAACTGTTATAAGATAAAGAGATCTATTTAAGTCGTCACGTATCCCCGAGAGCATCCAGCACTCAATATTTTCTTGACAATTACTGAACTTCTAACTTTTAGTGTGCGTTTAACAGAATGGAAACATATTCAGAGATTTTAAAGAGCGAGTTGTGTTTGCTCTTAAATACACTTGATTGCTGCAAACGTGCTTTCTTTATGTTTATAACTTACTTTTCTCGGAGGGAATACGATAAAAATTCAATGTCATTTAAGTTGGCAATGGCACGCTGCGACACCCGACAATCTTCAAAGATGTCATGCAAAGAAGTACATATTTTACTCATTATTATTCTCATTATTATATTTTTTTCTCTTAGTAAACTGTGAGTTGAACTGTTTCTGAACATTTGTGCCTTGTATCCTTCATTGATCAATCCAGTAAATAACAAAACGTTGTATTGTTTGATACTTAACGCATTATTTCTGGTGATGCAGTTATTCTATTTTCCAAATCAATGTTTTGTGTGATCTTTACAATGTATATTTCCTCTTACAACCCAAATATTCGTAGAAATAACGCGCACACACCCCCCCACCCCTTTAATTTGAACATTTTAAGAGTTTCTGTATATAAAAAAAATCTAAATGAAATAGTGTCAATAATATTATTAGCCACTGTTGATGGGTTAAACATTTCAAGGTCAATTGGGAAAGACGTCACTTCTACAGAACAATGGTAACGACTGGATTTATTGAGACGTAGTTCTATACGTTTTTCTTGATATGTTGCTTGATCTCAATGATGTATGTGATCCTAATACTAAGATTATTCATCGTCGTCACATTGACATCAACGCTCATACCCCACTAACCAGAAATAGTTCATTCCACATAGAAAGGGATAAATGATTTGCTCATTCTGGGTCACACACCTTTATGCTTAATTGCAAGTAACTACAGTATGTATTTTCTATGACACCATCGTGGGACGTAGTCTTACGTAGTGGATAGTGCACAGGGGGAAGTCCTGCTAATGAACTTTGATCCATTTCAGGGAGAAGTGTTCCTTTAAATACAGGCGGGACTCGGCTGTTGTGTAGTGGAACCAATCCGCGGGCAACACCGACTTTACAGAGCGTTTAAAGGGAGCGCCAGTCCTGCTCTCCGCCAGGTCCCATCTCTCTCTCCCTCCCTCGAGGACCAGCACTTGTACCTTTCACCCAAAGTACAGCATCACCCAAAACATCCACAGCCGAGCATCCGGGATGGCAGAAAACGGAGTGATAGACAACAGGCAGACAGACAAAAAACTTGCAGCGTTGTTGCCTAATCCAGTTAAAAATCTGGGTTTGAAATATACCAAGGTTTGTGAACTTTCTTTTAATATATCCAGTGTAATAAATGCTTGTAAATCACTATATAAACGTGTAAGTCTCGCCCACACAATATTGTCAATTCACTTTGCAGTATATTATGTGAAGCGCTTTAAGAGACATCTCGAAGACCTGATAAGGCGCTATATTAATACAATGATGATGATGATTATTATTATTACTAGGTCGGCAAATCGTTTGAATATATTTCCTAGAGATAAACGGAGAGAATCGCGAGCACTGCAAAATATGCATTTCGCTTGTTTGCAGTCTGTCTATTGTCAATCCGAACAGGAAAAAAAGCTTCGCTTGGGTTAAAATAGATTAAAATAGCATCAAATAGTCAAAACGTCTATGGATGGCTACGTTCCTTTCTTTAAAATCATCAGAATTATGGGGGTTTTTTTAAAAAAAAACGATGGGGTTATCAAGGTCGAGATTTGTTTCATATATCTGAGGTTTGCTGATGTATCGTTCTGGTGAATGGTGCAGATAACACGGTTTTTATGGTACCGTAGGCTATCCAAGATCATTTCGGTTAGATAAGCACCCAGTGATACCCTCTGTGCGATAGGTCAAAAAAAAAAACAGCTTCGTTTCCACAGAAAGGGCAGAGAGATGATGGAACTACTGGGGAATGATAGACAAGGAATAACTGGATAGAGAACAGCATCCCAGATACCAGTCTCACCAACGCTCGCATCCTAAACCACACACTGGAGGAGGAGAGATCAGAATGATCAGGAAAACTTAAGATTTTGGAAACGCTGTGTATTGATTGCCTTGTATTGCCTGGGTCTGGTCTGGTCTGGTCTGGTCTGGTCTCGGGGTGGGTGAGAACGTGCATTTTGACCATGTGCGAAAATGCTAACACCGTAGTAAAGAGGAGCAGCGAGAAATCCGAGAGAATTGTATAATTCAACAGTGCAACTGTTTCCAACTGGTTTTGCCAGAAAATGATGTGGCGCACTGGCGAATTGAATACCGGGCAAACCGATAAGGTGTTGAGACAGACTCGGTGCTTGAACATCAATGATTTCTCCACAATTGAAACGATCGCCAAATTTGCAAAAAAATTTTTTTTTTAAAAGCTGCTCCTGTTTTGTTTTGTATTAAACCGCAAATCGCACGGAGTCCCACTGGTTTTCGTGCGAAGTCAAACGGCATTTGTAAAGTATGCGCAATTATAGCAACACATGTTTGTGAGTATGATTGTGCTATCATGTGCGGAACATTCAGCTCAAAGCTATGATGTGCGGATCATATTCCCGCATGAGATGCCGCAGTGAAGTTGGCGAGCAAGTTCTTGCCTTAAATTATTGGTGTCTGCGTGAATTTTGGTGATGCATTTCTCTTCTACAATTATCAGTTAAAACACGGAAATGCGTTCCGGTATATTCACAGATGTGACTCGATAATCGGAATGGAAGGATAACATTTCTGTTCAGTTTTTGCTGTCAGACTGATCTGCGAAGCAGAGATCCGAAGTAGCATTTTGGATTGAACGTTTTCTAAATACTTCTGAACTCTCCAAAATGTGTAAACATTATTTATAATTGGTGCGAATCGTGCTCTTCTTAACAGCGAGAATGTTATAGTATTTAATTATGGTAAAAAGATAATGTTAGATATTACTTCACTACGAACATTTTACCTTAAACTCTTCACGCCCCCACTTTGTAGATTAACTCCCCAAAAATCCGCAGAATTAGAAATTGTCAAATGTACTCTTTATCATTCATCCCCACTATAACTATTATACATAAACGAATATAATAATAATAATATCCATTTCAACTGGATTATATATTACTGCAAATAGCTGCAAAATCATTTGAAGGGACAAAAGTTGTAAATTCATAGCTGATTTTATCGATGGACTGTGTTAACTTTTTGAAGCTAGAAATCGAAACGTTGCTCTTTGTTAATATTCAATTTCGAATCGATAATTAAAAGGGTTTGGAGTAGAGAGGAGAGCAAGTACGATCAGGGCAGAAAGTACACAATACAGAGAAGCACAACTTTATTGCATGCGGAACAGATGTAGCTGATGGATTGTGAACAGATATTGAAATCTAACATAACATTGTTATTATTATTATAACATAGAGTCGTGTTAGAAAGCATGAGAGGGTATGAGACAGCCGTAAAAAGGGATATGTTTCCAATGGAGAGGAGGGAAGACAAATACACCTGATAGATGCAGGGGAAGTGAACCAGACAGCTAAGCTTTGGAGGTGTTTAAAGGTCTACTGATGGCTCAGGGGTTTTACCCAGTGAGTAGCTGAAGCACACATATCTCAGGTTCGATTCCTAGTTGAGTTAGTATTAAACGTGGCTTCGGGTTAAAGAAGGGGGAAATAAGACAGGATTCCCACTCCTCCCCTGAACATTATCCAACAGTCCCCTGTATAAGTATATGTTATATATACATACAGAAATAAACCAATCAAACAGCTTCGGATGGTGAGAAGATTGGCAAGGACAAATGATGTTAAGATCATGTTCAGCTCTTGTTGGCTCATAGCTGCCTGCAAAATAACTGAGAGGTGATGTTTGTGTTGGGGTTGGTAAGGGTGATACAGGAGAGACACATCAGTGTGAGGGTGGGAGATGGAGTCAAAATGACAACTCAGAATAATTTATTTACAATTATTGATTGATACATTGACTGTAAATCAGGTTCATTTCTCTATGATGCTGCATCCACAAGTGCCTTCAGACAAAAACTTGCATTTGATTTTGCATTTGATATAGAGCCCTATCACGCCTTTGAGGTATCTCAAGCATGTCACAGAATACATACTGAATTGACTGTACATTTTGTAGGCAAAAAGCTTTTCCCATATATTTCAGAATTGGAAATTATCTGATTCTCTTCTCATTGATCTCCATCCGCTGCAGTTCCTATATCAGGAGACTAAGATGATTAATGTTTAATTGGGAATTGATTTTTAATCAAATTAATTGAGTAAAATTCTGTTAATCTCTAATGGAAATAAGAGAATTATTTTCACTGCCTCATTTTTAGTTCGGACATTTTGTCCCATCATATTGTTTTCATCAGAACTTCTAAGATACATTTTAACATCTTTAACATCTGAGAGACCTGAGTTCAATTCCAGGCAGGGCGAAACCTTGGGCAAGTTTCCTTACTCCACACGCCTAATAATAATTTCTCCAAAAAAGCAAAAACAATAATAAATTGGTCATTTTCAATCTACGACTGTTTGTGGGACATTGCTGTGCACAATTGGCTACCGCGTTCGCCCACAAATATACAGTCAATTTACTTTACAATGTGTTCTGTGAAGCACTTTGGGATGTCCTCCCGACGTGAAAAGCGCTATATCAAATGCAAGGATTATTATTATTATTATTATCTTACTGAACCTTCAGTGCTGAATTCAGTCTTGCATTATGAAGATTATAGACATGTGTGAAGAATCTATCTATTGGTGGTATTGCAATTAAAAAAGTTGGGAAGCAACACAAAAAAAAGAGAAGAAAAAAGAACCAATGATTCAGTGTTCAGATGCAGGAATAATTCAAATGACTCTAGCCATCCCGGGTTGAAGAGGAATTGACAATAAATATAATTAGTAATATTAGGGTGAATTTCAAGTATTGTCGTTAATCGCAATACAATAAAAGGGATCATTTATGAATGGTTGAAATGTTTGTGTTTTCAGTGAAGTTCAGCAGTTTTTTTCTATTGACTGTTCCTTTCGAAGATAGTCAACATTTATTTAACAAGGCATTCACATTAACTACATTGAAAGATTATTGATCTTTCAATCTTTTTGTTATCATGCATCAACGTTATATTAAATAACTGTTTCAGTAATTGAATTAATTTAGGAAATCTATAGAAAGCGTGGGAGAGTTCCTCTATTGCAATGCAGTGCTGAGTCACAGAATGAGGTCACACATATGGATCAGCAGGATGTTGGTAGTAAATGCTATTACACATATATATGTACCTTCAAATAGGCATGCACACACCAGACTCTGTCTTATCCACAACCTTTAAAGGGTGCTTGAATCATATTCTATAATTGGCACATACATGTGGTTTTCTTCTATTCGCTGAACCATAACAAACCTTTAGAAAGTGTTGCTACTTTTACTTGTGTTAGTACAAACTAATGAAGGTGGGAGAAATTCATAACTTCAAAATATATTTTTTATCACTAATGCTCTAAATTACAAAATAAAACCTTCATTTCAAAACACAACTTTATATTATACAAAATAAAGTGATGCTGTGGGAAATATATTAAAGCGACCTGTGATCCATAGGATACTAGCGGATTAGGCTGGCACGCTAATGCATTGCTGTGGGTGTACTGCATTGTGCAAGTTGCCGTTCTTTGGATGAGACTTTAAACCAAAGACCATGTCTGCCTGTTCAACAATCCCCCAGACAAAAAATTGTTCATTCATGGCCGTTTGTGGTCAAATTAGCAGTCATGTTCGCCTACAAATCCAGTCACTACACGTTACAGACGGCTCTGTGAAGGTCGTTAAGACAGTTCAGTGTGACAAGGTGCCAAATCAAATGCAAGTACTGTTATTATTAATAATTATGATTATTATGACTCATTTTAGTGATAGGAAGGGATATGACTCAAAATGAAGTGATATGAAAGTCTTGATTTACTGGGAAATGTAATACTTTCTAAGTATTAAAATACAATAATCCTACATTATTCCACTCATAAAGAGAAAGCATGCAAATACAATTCATGTTTTTATCACCATTTTTTGCTAAACGACAGCAGTTTGATGAACGCTGTAGTTTTCCACAACTTATGAAATCCCCCCTAATCTGATTCTCATGATTTCATGCTTGACACTTGCCATAAGTTACTCCAAGATAGTGGGGCTTTCAGCAATTACGCTTCAGGTAACCTCAAGAAGAAATCTCAAAGCTTGAAATTGGTGGATTACAAGTGCGATCCATGTGATGAGAAAGCACAGCTCCTCGGGAACATTTTATGAAGCCACAAGAAATCAGTCTTTCTTATCTGAGGAACAGCTCACACCTTGTTGAAAGACAACGTAATGATCATTAAATTCCATCTGGCAATAATAAGCAATGTTTATGATGATCCATGTATTTAGAAAAAATAAACAATAAATAATCCTTGCTTTTCATATACGGCCTTCCATGTGGGAGGGGTGAGGAACATGTCTCAAAGCCCTCACAGGATTTACTGTGAGTTATAATGAATGCGTTTTCTGGGTGCACTGACATCCATGTCTACAAAGTTGCCTACAAATACCCAGTCATTACACTTGTCAACAATTGTATTTTGAAACAATTCAATATTTTAGGTGTCATATTGAATGCAAAGATTATTATTATTACTGTTATTATTCTTAAATTTTGTGAATTATTTGTATCACAAAAAGAGGTTTATAATGCTCTCAATATTTTAGTTGTTAAAGATGCAGCGCTAGGGAACGGTGAGCAGAAGGTTGCAGGTTCCAATCCCAGACTGTGCTGAGAAGGGAGAAATTTTAACGTGTAAAATTAGCCTAAATTCTTGGCTCCTGATCACCGCCGAGCGATCCCTCCTGGAAGTGCAAGTGAGTGGACATTGGGTTGGAGTAGATTTAGACTTGGCTGCAACACTGCCCATGGTCAAACAGCCCACTGATACTCCCTGTCTGAGAACATCAGCTTCCTGGGTCAATCATTTATAAACGTATCTAATTGAGTGATTTTTTTTAATGTAAGAGGCCTAACTTTGAACTTTTTAAATTATTCAGAAATGTTTATTTTATTGCTGGGAATTGTAAATAATAAACACTAACAGGTTACTAAAAAATGACAAGTTTCTTAACAGTTCATCCTTCCATCTAAGTAATATGTATAAATGAATATGCTTTTGCACAGATTTTTCAATTTAACTTTTTTTAGTATGTGCTGAAATGAAAGCTTAGATATTTAAAAAAGAATGTGGTTACAAGCGAATAAATTAAATTTGATATAAAAACTCTTTATTTTTAAACAATCCTTCACACCTCCCTTCCAGTTGGAGTTCAGTTTCTATGAGTTTCAGTTTCCTTCTGGATTTATCTCTTGTCATAATATTGACAATTTATTTGTTTTGGAGCTTGTGTCCTTTTTGATATGTCCTTTTGTAGTAAAATAAACAACTTAAGGTTAGTTAGTTTTTCTACATAAGGTAGTTTGTTTTATATGGAGCTGGTTATCTGGATAAATTTAGTTTATTTAATCCCTCGAGAGCCATGTTATCAATTTTGCTCAGGTTCAGTTTAGTTTCTGCTGTAGTCCAGTGATACTTGGAATTAGCACAACCATTCAGAGTGAAACCCTTTGTACATATTCATATATTATCGATATCCTATGTAAAAGTAATTTGTAAAGGTGTATGCTAAATTGATAAATGCATAGTTTGAATATACAAAAGAATGAATGGGGCACGTAAAGTTAAGGGTTACCTCCACTGTTGAAAAGAAATGGTGTTTTAAAATGAGCAATTTTTTCAAACATGGAGCCATCCTATGTCTCGTGTAACACGGTACGATAATGCCAAGTGGAAAAAAATTTGATCCTTCATATCACTAAAAGGGCGGCTTTTATTTCCCGCACACAGATCTTCATCAACAATGAGTGGTATGAATCTGCAAGTGGTAAAACTTTCGCCACATACAATCCAGCAACCGGCAAAAAAATCTGCGATGTGGAGGAAGGTGACAAGGTAAATTATTAAATGTAACTGTAATTCTTCGAAGGCACCAGGTCTTAGTATTCCTTCTGTTTGTTACATTAAATAGTGTTCCCTTTCAATGTTAAGAATACTTGTTAAGTATTAACACCCAAGGTAAGGTGTAAAATAAACTTTTCACAAAGATGTCAATTGTTTCTAAATAAACTTGTCGCTGGGGCTCCAACTGTTGCTCCATATCTCTGTGGAAATATTTTGGAAACTGTGAGTAGGTCATATTTTACGTGCTGGTAGACATCACTCTTTGGTAAATACCTGTGAAATCATCACTACTTAATTTGAATGTGTCAATGGCAAAATTACTCAAGGTTGCTGCAGTACTGCTCTGCTTGTGAACCGGAAAAACAGGGTGACACGTCCTGTTTAAGTTCCTGGCCAAGATAAATATACACAATTGCTTGCGAATATTAGAAGTTATGCAAAATGATGACTAAACTTATCCGTGACCTTACACTAGTCTGACGTATATACATACCTTGAATAATTATTAGCTGTTGTGGTGAATATCCGCTTCCTTGTCTGAATAAAAGTATCTTTAGACCTCGACTTAATTGACATACAGAAACACCCTGTTACCTATATTCAGATTAACATAGTCATATGTGGCTCAGCTGTATGTAAAGTGTCAGTAACAGAAAGTCATTGTATCAGCAGGTATGCTTTTTCTGATGGCATAAAAGTCAGGATAAACACCAAAACCAGGTTTCAGCTATGAAACCAAGGCCTACCTCTCCGCCATGCAGCATATTTGAGATGTCTAAATGTATCAATGTATAAAAGTGAATGTTGAACCACTTTGTAGCTCTTGTAAAATTGAACAACCTGTAAGTCAATGACCTTACATTATTGATACCCATTAAACTTGGTGGTATAGGTTGATGTGGACAAAGCAGTGGAGGCGGCAAGAACAGCTTTCCAGAGGGGTTCCCCGTGGAGAAAGCTGGATAGTTCAGGCAGAGGAAGACTCTTGTACAAATGGGCAGACCTTATTGAACGTGATCGTAACATCCTGGCTGTAAGTATAATAATAATGTGGGATTCTGGACAACAATCCTCCAGATAAAACTGGTCATTCATTTCATGGCTACACTTAACAGTAATTACTGTGATACACTTTGAGACATTTCAACCTTATAGCACTATATCAGATAAAGGATTACTATTATTATTACAGAACATAAGATTTTTTAATTCCAAAATGACTTTAATGTGCACCTCAGTTGTCATGTTCACAATGTACCCAATGATGCATGCGTGTGATCAGACAATTATAAATGAAAGGTATAATAATAGATTGAAAATCTCATCTGCTTGAAGTGTTCTTGAAGGCTTGCCAGTTTCTGCTTTGTTTTATGCGCAATGTAATCATATACGATCAAGCATGAGCAAACTATCAGACAAGCCTCCTGCCATACCAGGATTTCCAGAATAATACGGCTACCTCACATCAGAGCAGAGGACGCCAAGTTGAATTGAATTTTCACCAGATAAAAGGTGCACAAGGGTCACTGTGATGTATTTCATGAAACAAAACCCTTTTGGAAATTGAAATAGCGAAATTGAATAGTACTTAAGGCTTCTTTGTATCGGCATTATGCTTTGAACATTCTAAAAAAAGAGATGGAATTGTAATGGTATTTTTTCTCAGTAGAAAGGTAGTAAACACACCTAATTCAATGACAAATACAAAGCTCGGAGTTTGCTAAGTTCAAACACACCTGGTTGTGCCCACGTGGTGTGGTGAAACAGTTACTCTGTGCTGGAAGCAGGAATTCTTTTCATGACAATATAAAGAGTGCAAGAATTTATATTAAAAAAAAACTCACCTGCTTCGCCTTTGATGGATGAAACAGCAGCAGGTTTGTCTGCAGATAAAAGAAGTATCATAAACCACATCAGCCCCGAAAAATTATTGCAGTGATCTTTTCCTAAATCCCACCATCAAACTGAGAACAATGCAAATGGAAATCATCATTCCTCATCGTATCTATTCTGACTAATCTCAGACATCAGTTAGTTTGTATTGTAACTGCTGGTTATTCAGAAACAATTTGTTAACTGAAACACAATACAGAGAACAAGCTTGTTATCCAATCCCAATAGGGTTCTAGAAAATAACGTGGCAGTTACAGAGCCAAAATTCCACCTAGTTTTAGTCTGCGGGAACCCTTTTTGCAGTTAAATGCTAAGTTTGGTCAGAATTGTGGAAAATTCTTAAAGGGAGGGAGGATTCGAATAGCTTCACATTACAAAGAGAGGCTCACAGATATAAATTGATTCTCATCAGAACAGGGGAAACATAAACCAGGCCTTTAAAACAATTATGCAGATGTAAGCAGAATCATTTTGACAGGGACTATTACAGAAGACCCTGATTCAAATAAGAAACCTCCTCGATGGAAACTGCACCAATAATTTACCATGTGCTCATTCCTCCCTCCTCCTATTCCCCTCATCTCTGCACAAAGGCTGCAGACCATAATCGATAAATACCTAGAGGAAAGCCCCCGGGGGTCAGTGGCCTCTGAGGTATTCCTGTGGAAATGCTGGGTTATGTCATAAGCTACTATATTAGCTGAGAATCATAGAATCATAGAATATTACAGCACAGAAGGAGGCCATTAGGCCCATTGTGCCTGTGCCGGCTCTTTGGAAGAGCTACCCAATCAGTCCCACTCCCCCGCTCTTTCCCCATATCCTTTTTTTTCCTTTTCAAGTACCTATCCAATTCTCTTTTGAAAGAGAAAGGAAATAGTGCACAGAGAAAGAGCAGTGCCATTTTCCATGCGTAACTGCTGTGGGGAAGGAGATCAGTGTAGATGCAACAACACGCTTTTAAGTTACACATACATACGTACCTGCTCATGGCTTTGGAAAGAGTGAAGAATGTGTGTTCTAAAGGCTCTATTGTTTGAACTTGACAGACCTTGGAAACCATGGATACTGGCAAACCCTTTCTGCAGTCATTTGCCATTGATTTAGAGGGCTGCATTAGAACACTGCGTTACTATGCTGGCTGGGCTGATAAAATACATGGGAAAAGTATTCCAGTGGGTAAGTCGGTAATGGATATAGGCATGCGTTGAATGCAATTCAAATGTTTAGCAAAATAACATTAATTGACCATTTGAACGAGTGAAACTGGCGTTAAATTCTTATATCTTTCATCAAGCGAAACATGTTTTAAATGCATCCAGTCAGACACTAGACTAGACAATATAATGTTCCAACACCACAAAACAAGACATGTCCTCGCACTCGTTTACTAATGGAGCAGAATGATCCTGAATATGTTTTAGCCCGGACAACTAATGATCTCATGACAGCACTGCCTTATTTATCTCATACTCACACATACAGTGAAATCCCCAATACCAATGTATCCTTTAGATGACAAAATGCAAATAGTTCTATGTATTTCTATACATGCTCATGATAAAGATATTTTGTACTACAAAAGAACTAAAAGATGTGCTGACGTTTTTCCTCTTTCTTACTTCTTTCTCGTAGATGAAGATTTTGTTCTGTTTACAAGGCATGAACCAATTGGTGTCTGTGGGCAGATTACTCCAGTGAGTTGCATTGAACTGTCGCAAAGTGATACAAGAACATTCTGTTTATTTTAATATTGTCAAACATACTTAAAGTGAAAGCTTGGAAGTTCGTTCTGGTATTGCTCCAGCTATAAACGCAGTACTTTTTGTGCGATACTTGTTGCAACAGAAAAGCACAGCAAATAAGTAAATAACATTTATAAGTAATAACATTTACTTATTTGCTGTGTTACTTTGTTCACACCTACATGATGTCCTTGTAGTTTCTTAGATAAATCCAAATCCAGGTGGGATGTAATATTTTATTTTTGGTCTGCTGTGGTGCAAAGACCCATCAACATGCTTAAGAGTATCCAAACCAGAGTAGTTCCATATATGTACACCACCTACAGATGGTAAAGTCCCTGTGTTTGGAATGGAATATGTACTCTCTCTCTCTGAAGAGATATAATCTGGTTACCTAATCCCAGCTAGCATTAGGGGCGGGTTAGCAAGAATTATGGCTTGGGGACACTTGAGTATGTATTGGAGCACTGCTAGAGTTTGCCATTGAAATCACTGCTGGGTAACATTTCCTGCTGCTTATCCAGCTAGGACCACCTTAGGGCTTTGGCTTGCAGGATTAACAGGAGCTGAGTGGGAAGAATCCCTGCTCCCAGTGACAGGTATGGCAATACTTGACTTTCCAATGTGGGGCCTTGGAATGCCAAAAATTGGCTGCTGTGTTTGCCTATTAAGACACTTAACTTGATAGTAATTCCCTGTGAAGCTCTCTGAGACATTTCAGGATTCTAGGCACTATATCAAATACAAAGGATTTTATTTTGCTTATGTAATCTGAAGCCAGAATTTCTCTTTTGCAGTGGAATTTCCCGCTATTAATGTTTATTTGGAAGGTGGCACCCGCACTCTGCTGTGGGAACACTGTGGTAATTAAACCTGCGGAGCAAACTCCTCTAACAGCACTTTATATGGGAGCTTTAATTAAAGAGGTTAGTACTTTTCACATTGAATGCAGATCATTGATAATACAATGCAATATTTGTGCAGCACAAAACTGTTATAGAGTACGTTAGTCCATGACAACCGCTTATCTGTAACACTCGCTCACTGTCATGATTCAATCCATACTAGACTTCTTTTACAATGTCACCTTAATGTGCACGTTTTTTGGTCAATGCAATATTTGTACACCTTTTCTCAACAAACAGTGAACTCAGTGTTAAAATAGTATCTATAACTGAAAGGGTTTACTTCTATGAACTGTTAGAATATTCATAGAAAATATACTTTATAGCTGTTAAGTGCTTTGAGATGTTTCGATGACAAAAAAAACAGTCACTGCACTTGGTAGTATATCCAGTAAAGTGCTTTGAAACATTCTCTCTAACTAAGACCTATACCAAATGTAAGGATGATGATGATTATTATTATTATTATTATTATTAGAGGCATTTTAAAAGCAGCAAGTTGGAATATGTTTCTCGTACTTTAGGTGGGGTTCCCTCCAGGTGTAGTGAATATAGTGCCGGGATATGGACCTACTACCGGGGCTGCCATTGCCTGCCACAAGGACATTGATAAGGTGGCGTTCACTGGATCTACTGAGGTAAGGAAATCTTTCAGATTTGACACCTTTCAGCAGAACAGATGGGATACGCACACAACAGGAGGTGAAAATTGCACTGGTCCTGAATCAGTCTCCTTCAGATTCTGTCAGGAGCTGGGCTCCAATGAAGTTCCTGCTGGCTCAACCACCATTTGATTGTATCTTTGGCAGTAAAGCACCATTGCAAACTGCTGCCAAACCTTCAGTTTAAATGCAAAATAAGTGCCGTCTGATCAGCGCATTGTAAAAGCCAAAGCATAACTCAGTCATACTTGTGTACATACCATACTTGTTATATGCAGTATTAGCTTCCATTCCTTAACCACACTGTGTGGACCGTGAAATTTATGACTTAAACACTAACCACAGATTTCTGTTTAAGACTGCCTGTTCTAATTCAATTCCATTTAGTTTTCTATGTTCCATACTTTTTTTTCTACATTTCTGTCTGGGAAAATGAAGACAGTTTTGTCGAGGGTTAGGGTTAGGGTCAAGGGAAATCATTACCATTATAAAATTAGGCAATTACACGATAAGTTATTTCACTGAATTCTTATACTTTTCTCTGATTGAACCTTTGGCAGGTGGGGAAATCCATAAAGGAAGCTGCCTCTAAAAGTAACCTGAAGAGAGTCACCCTGGAATTGGGAGGAAAGAATCCGTGCATTGTATTTGCAGACTCCGATTGTAAGAGACATTTTCAGTTGCTTCATATAGTATTTCAGTTTATGAACTTCGCAGGATAAAAAATATGCAGCAATGGAGTGAGCAATGGAACGAGTCTTGCTCTGCTGGTGGCCAGCTCATATTGGGTTATAAATATACCCCCACAACACACACACAGTCACTCCACTTTACAATGAACACCTGATAAGAAAGGAGTTGTATCAAATGCAAGGATTATTATTATTATAACTGGATATTCTCCCCCCACCCCCAACCCCCCATCTTTATCTTACAATTGACTCAGTGAGAAAATAGATCAAACTGCACAGACCCCGATCAACTCCCTCCCAACCTGTGCTGCATTATTTGGTCTGTGCTGAGCTCGCAGTGAACCATTTTAATTCACTTTCATGCCTTCAGGCTAGGGAGTGGGCAAAACATTCAGACAGGGTTTCTGCAGCTCCAGATTGCTATTGCTCTCTGCTGCCCCCCAGCAGGGACGAGCACGCAATGGACATCTAATAAAGGACAGCAAATTGCTCTGTGTAACATCCCGAGGAGAAAAATATTCACAGTTCAATGATAACGACACCTTGCATTTATATAGCGTCCCTCATGCAGGGTAGTGCCCCAGAGCGATTGACAGTGGCGAAGCATAATGCCAAGCCGGGGGTGGGGGGGATGTATAAAATTTTAAATATTCCCTTTTTCTCCAGTGGCTTTGGCAGTGGAATATGCCTACCAGGGAGCATTCTTTAACCAAGGCCAGTGCTGTACAGCTGCTGCCCGGGTGTTTGTGGAGGAGTCAGTGTACGAGGAGTTTGTGAGGCGCAGTGTGGAGCACGCCAAGAGGCGAATTGTCGGAAACCCATTCGATCCTAAAACCGAACAAGGACCCCAGGTGAGAGAAAACTAACCATTCCTTAATTTAAAGTGCTTGAATACAGCATTGAGGACACAGGAATGAAGGTAAATTTACACCCTTGCTGGAAATGGAAACGGAATAAGAAATGATGAGTTTTTGCTTATTTTGTTTATTTGACAAAAGTACTTGCTCTTTTCCGGGTGTCCATTTGTGTGGCTCTATAAGGACCTTGGGACGTCCTCGCGATGTGAAAAGTGCTACATAAATGTAAATTTGTATTGCACTGTATTGCATCGCACCCAGCTTTTGGCTGCTGTGGAACAAATGTCTGTATGCTGTAGGATGTATTGTGTCAAACTGAGAATGTACTGAAATGTTTCCTGGTTTCAACCAGGTTTATTTTTGTCACTTTGGCAAAGTGCATTTACTGTAATATTTATAACTATCATTTTGTAAAATCCGTGGCCAGCAAATTGCAAAGTCCAAGTAGGCAAAGTCTGATTAAAACGCTTGGCAAGTGAAATAGATGAATCATGCCTCTGAGATCCTAGAGACTGTTATAAAGTTACCTTTAGTGTCACATTCACCAACTAAACCTTCAATAAATAAGGTAACTAAATGGAAACAAATTAAACAGTAAATGTCAGCAGTGAAATGAATTAATAATTAATAATATCTGAATCCTTAAGCAAGAGGGTGCGGCACAGATTAAACTGTGTATTTTCCCACTGATAAGTGTGTGGTGATCCAATGTAAAATGACAGGGCAATAACTCACCATGACCATTTGCTGTTAATCCCCCAAAAGACCTTAATTATAAACGGTTTTATACCTCAATCCAAGAAATTCTATCGGGCCCTAAAAATGAAGTCATGTCTCTAGAAATCTTAGCCTTGGGCTGCAAACTGAAACCAACTATTCTACCCAATATGTCATTCAAGTTTTGATATTCTTAGGTTGCAAAAGACATTGTCAGTCTGTAATGGCAGAAGAACCATTTCAGTGTATGTCTATACTCCATGCTTGGCAAGGAATCCTTGACATCGTGTAGTGTATTGGTTAGAGCACTCACCTCACAAGCGAGAAGACTCGGGTTCGATTCCCAGGCTGGGCAAGACTTTAGGGAAGTTTGCTTACTCCACACGTCTGTTTACCTAGCAGTAAGTAGGAATCCGGTTGTTAGTCAATTGTTGGAATGCTTTCCAAGGCTAATAATCTTTTCCAATAAATAAATGAATAATTTGGTCACTCAATCCACGATTGCTTGTGGGACACTGATGTGTGCGATTGGCTGCCATGTTTTGCTCACAAAATATACAATCAATTCATGTTACAGTATATTCTGTGAAGCACTTTGAGATGTCTCAACGACATGATCAGACTGTTTTACTGTATAAAGACCCCATTTAACGGGCCCTCTTCTAAAGATGCCCCTGAAGCTGGTGCAGAGTCAGGGTGCTGCTGTATGAATGGTGGAATTATGTTTCCAAATATTAATCTTTGTTGTAAACACCAATGTGTTGAACAATCACTGATAATCTTGGGCTGAAAGACAGCATGCAAATGTACAGCCTACGGATGGTTTATTCATTTTCAACCTTTGCACAATAGATTGACCAAGATCAGTTTGACAAAATTCTGAAGCTAATACAAAGTGGCAAGAAGGAAGGAGCCAGACTGGAATGTGGTGGGTGTGCGATTGGAGATTTGGGCTATTACATTCAACCCACTGTGTTCACAGACGTTACAGATGACATGAGCATTGCCAAGGAAGAGGTACTGTACCTTCAAAGAAACCACGTAAACATGAAAAAAGTTCACTGTGAATTATGAATGGGTATCATTGATGCTGTTTATGTTCCTTAGATCTTTGGACCGGTGCAAGTTATAATGAAATTTAAAAGCATGGAAGAGGTTATTAAACGAGCCAACAACAGTGAATTTGGATTGACTGCAGGAGTGTTCACAAAAAACATCGACACAGCACTGACAGTAGCCTCTGCCCTCCAATCGGGAACTGTGTGGTAAATGAAAATATACATTTTTTCTACATTAATAATAATAATAAGCCTTGCATTTCACGTAGTGCCTTATCACTGCTTTGAAACACCACAAAGCGTTTTGCAGCATTATACTCTCAAGCGTAATGACTGTGTATTGGTAATTGAACGCAGCAGCCAATTTGCCGACAGCAACGTCCCACAAACAGTCGTGAAGTGAATGCCCTATTTTATCTGGGCATTGCTGGCCAGGACACAAGATGACCTTACAGGTGTCTGACGCTTGCAGAAAAGCGTCCATTTCAATGGATTCAAGAGAGGATACAATTCAGAGCATGCTCCAGCAGGTGGCAGCCAGCACCACCTGCTCCTGTCAACAAGTATTTGGAAAACTTATTCCTCAGTTCAAGATCCATAACCTGCTTCCGTTCTTGTTTTGCAGGATTAACTGTTATAACGCTCTCCACGCTCAAGCACCTTTTGGCGGCTTCAAAATGTCCGGAAATGGAAGAGAAATGTAAGTATCTTTCTGTTCATTAAACTGTGAGAGCGCGCTTTATTGCACAAGTTTTAGGGTTGGTCAACATTACATTTTGAGGAGTTTATCTTGTAATGTTACAGCTGAGATATTGGACCCAGATGACCTTGCTGTAACCAGATTGCCTAATAATATCAATTACGAAATCCAGCATGTGAAGTATTGCAGAAGGTGAAAGTATATACCACTTTGACTGTGCGTTCGGTCAACGTTTTTGCTGCTCACCCTCCCCTCTCAGCTCCCACCACCGATCTGGGTACCCATCCAACACTCCCAGCCAACGTGAAAGGCACTCCATAAATGTATATCGCAAGTAAAGGACTACATTTTTCTGTTGTGATGTTAATTTCCCAACCACAGCAGGAAAACTCTCCCAAGCCTCAGAAGTAGAAAAGTGGAGGAGATCTGAAATCTTACTGTGGATCGTCTTCACATTGATCGGCAGGCAGGTCAAGCCTCATCATGATCCGATCAGCAGCAGGGCTACACTTAGTGTCCACCAGCAATGAAAGCCGCCCCCAGAGGATCTTTGTCTGGCTTAAATCAATGAGTTTGCAGCAGTTTCGTTCAAATGTAGCCAGCTGCAAATAACCAAACCCTCTTTGTGTGTGTTTGTGAATGCTGTAATAACATTCAAACATAGATGCTGTCTTCTGTACCACTGAGCTATTGTTTCATTCTTGCTCTTATTGTATTGTCCCACAGGGGTGAATATGGCCTGACAGAATATACAGAAGTTAAAACTGTGACTATCAAAATTTCACAGAATAATCACTAAGCCGCAAAGAAAAATAAAGCACTTGGATACGGCACTAAAAGATATGACACCAGCTCCTGGAAGGAATTAGTGACACCGAAAAATCAAGCTAAATAATTAGAAGAAACTCTGCTTAAATCCATAATATAATTTCTGACTTTGCACATTTTGTATTTTGTTTTAACTTGTAGTTAGTCACAAAAAAATGCTTATAGTTGAACTGTACAGTGACTTTTTATAATTACTCATTTTGTGGGTATTATACCCTGCCCTGTGTGTACATAACCTATTTCAGAGGTGAAGGATATTGAGAATTTACTGAAGGGCTTTGTTAAATTGGGCATCTGGAATTGAATGACATAGTCTTTAAACGCAATAGCAAAATACTGTATTTCATACTTCCAACAACCTGCTTTTTTGGCGTTAATGCATTGAATGTATAACAAAAACAAGCATACTTTTATGTTAGCCTCTCAGAATGTGGGTAGGCATTGCGAATTTCATTGCGAATCTTTTCAATTAAGATTAATAACTCCTTGGTAATTTACTGTAACTATGTGTAGTTTACATGATTCCACTGTACAGTTTACAGAAAATAGTTTTTTACTCACAGCTTTTTATCGAGTAAATGCATTAAGTGTGTGTGTATATATAAACTGTATATATAAGGGTTTAGTTGATCTATCCAATTTTTGGTAAATATTTGACTGAAATGTTATTATAATGGCTGTGTTCCATTGTAGCTCATTATTCTCGATCTCAATGTCCAGCACTCTGTTTTGGTGCAACGAAAAGCTAAGAATGCAACAAATACCAAGCCTTAACTTAAGGTAAAATGTGACTCATGTTCGGAGTCGATGAATCATCGGTCAACAATGTTTGTAACACATTCTAGTTCGCAACATCACAAGTGATTTGTATGAAGAAGGCTCTTTTGCCAATTTTATCTCATCTGTCCACCATCCTGTCATCTCACTACAGCATTGAGCTGTTTTTTTTTTAAATGAGCCCAGTATCCTGGCCTCAACCTAGTTGCTTATTTTGTTAATTTAATTTCGACCCCTTCTCCCCCCACCCCTGTTTTTTTTCTCTCCTAATTGAAAATGGTTCTACAGCCGATGGATGTACGATAGCTCCACAGGTTCTGGTACAGTTCTACAGGCAATTAGTATAGTACCTCAGACACTGATTAGTGATTAGTTAAACTGTGATGCTCTGTCCAAAAGAGAAAGATGCTGGTTTCTTAACCAGCGGCAACATTTTCAGCATTATGACCATAAAAACACTTTGAGCTGCCAATTTAAGGAAGATTTAACGATGGGACAATCTATTGTGGACCTTCTGAAAATAACATTGATTTTCCACTAATGATGGCGATTAGCATTTATAACAATGAAAAAGTCCTGAAAAAAATATTTTTTAGAAGGAAAGGATGTAAAGTCTTCTTTTATATGTACTGTATATATGATTATTTTTTTTAGCTTTGGTGAATTTAAAGAAATTAAATGAATTTTAATGAATCTTATTCTACAGGCTGTTAGACTTGCATTCTCGTTCATTTGGTTAAGTGTCTGCACAACAACATGTACAGAAATCTATGGTAAAGATGGATCGAAGCTTCAGGAACAATGTGTTATGTAACATTTTATTAATATAATACAACCACAACAATGAATTGCATTTATATAGTCTCAAAGCGCTTAGTACAGATCTGTATTACAGTACAGCACTTATTACAGGACAGCGTCTCGGAATGCTTATACAGGATTTATTAATACAGGACTGGAACCTCAGTTTGTTAGCTAGACACAGAGAGTAGCACAATGCAGTCGGAGGTTCTTAAATGTATAAAATATTATATTCTAACTTTTTAAAAACAAAGCCTTTGGGTTGGTGAAATGCTTACTATCGAGGTATTTTGTGAACTTATAAAGGATATGTGTAGAAACTATTTTCTTTATTTGTATCATTATTCTTGTATTTTTTTTTGTAATCTGACACACAGAACATTAAAGAGATATCGCTTTTCCTAACTTGTAGTAATTATTTGCATTATACAGAGAACTCCGAACATCCATTCTGGATTTTAAAATGTAATATTCCTTACATTTTTTATTACGATTTTGAGATGTATCAAAGCGCTTTACAGAATTTATTGTAGGGTGTAGTGACTGTGTATTTTGTAGCCGAATGTGGCAGCCAACTTATCCCACAAACATTCACAAAATAAATGGCAACACAACATTTACATAGCGCCTTTCATGTCTGGAGGACATCTCGGAGCAGTTCACTTAGGGGCTGGAGTTGGGGGAGTGAGAGCACAAAATGGGACCAATTTTACCTGGGGGATTTTGTTGGCCAGGACATTGTGAGAAACATTAAGGTTACAGTTGCCACAATAAGTGCAGTACTGGTCAGTGCCCGGGTGGTATTTAAATAAATCAGAAAAGTGTGATATTTAATAATAACATTAATTATCCTTGCATTTGATATTGCCCCTTATCAGGTTGTTAAGATGTCTCAAAGCGCTTCACAGGATACACTGTAGAGTGGATTATTATATTATATTATTATACTGTAAAGTGGGTGGACTGTAAAAAAATGTTTTTGCATGGGCAAAACACTGTAGCCAATTCCGCACAGCACTGTCCCACAAACATCCATGGAGAGGGTGACCATTTTTTTTGGGGGGGGAAATTGTGAGCCAGGTACCAGGAAAAATATACAGTCAATTCACTTTATAGTATATACAGTATATCTTGTGAAGCGCTTTGAGACGTCTCGAAGACGTGACAAGGCGCTATATCAAATGCAAGGATTATTATAAAACTTTCCTTGTATTTTTGTATAGCGCCACCTGAACAGGCACTTCTTAGTGTTACTGAGTTCTTAGCAATGAGGTAGTTTTCTGAATGTGTACATTCCCAGACAATTTTAAGCAATTAACCAGGTGTGTGTGTGTGTGTGGAGGTGGTGCTGACACTGTTACATTGCTTTCAGGTCTCTTTGCCACCTGTTGTGTACCTTTGCGTGTTGATGGGTAGCTGTGAGAACAGCAGGGCTTAAATCCTACTTTCAGTCTCTTAGTCCCACCCACGCCTCACTCGCCCGAGTCTCATTTCCTCATTCTTAAAGCCTGAGCCAGCAATGATCGATCCAGGCCAAGGTTGGACCAGCAAGAGAGAGAAAGAGAGAGAGAGTTTCCAAGCTAAAATTGAGAACCACAGTCCTGGGAGAGGGTGAGCGTCTGTGACTTTGAGAGAAGGCAAACAGAGACAGAGATATTCGCATAGCAGGAAGTTTTTGTACAATACTTTATCCTGATCGACACCCGCAGGACTTCGTTTGAGAACAAGGCACCCAGGAGTGACTAAGTTTGAAAGTAACTCACAGCCCAAAGCATCTGCAGTCTCTGCCTTTCGCTCCAGAGGTAGGTAAACATGCCTCCCCAGATGGTTTATAGCCTGAAGCAAAGCCTAATGAAAGCTTTACCCATGCTGCCTTTCCTCTTAAAAGCCCATGCTTACTGTTTCACTTAACTGCTTTCTTTTGAACTGTGCTTTTGGCCACCGTCCCCCAACCCCCAATCTTCCTTCCTCAACTTGGGTTCCGAGCGGGGACTTGTGAAGCGCTCTGAGATGGCCTCCCGATGTGAAAAACGTTGTAGAAATAATAATAATAATCCTTGCAATTGATACAGCCCCTTATCATGCTGTTATCAAATTGTTGTTAGTTGCAAGCGGTAACATGCTGTAGTGTTTACTGTTGTGCACATTTTTCCTGGTTGTCGGATTGTGAAATACCCTCTCCTCAGCCTCTTGTGGTTAAAGTTGCAGTTTTTCGAAAGAGCTTCTTTCAAGACGTCAGGCAGTTTGGTTTTGTTGTTGTTGTTGTTGTTTATTGTGGAAACCTCAGAGGGAAAAAAAAGTTTGCCAGTGGGAATGTGCTATAGGGGGTAGAAAGTACATTGTTTTCTGCTGATTGAGCGTCAGTGGCTGCAAAAAGCAAACGGAATCTGAGTTGTTGAGCGACACAATACAAAATACAATACAAAATTATATTTCTATATTTCGGGAGGACATCACAAGCTAGCGGAACTGCAAGATCAATCATCAAAGCATTACCAGGGAGGGCGAACCGCACTGTAACCAAGACAGATTACATATGTAACGTTCGTGGTTGAAATGCCAAGATTTTTTGAACATCATTGGCCCAGAAAATACACAGTCACTTCACTTTGCAGTATATTCTATGAAGCGTTTTGAGACACCTCAACGATGTGATGACACTATATCAAATGCAAGAATTATTATTATTATTGTGTTAGTTGCAGAGGGGGCAAAGGTTCTGACCTGCCAAACAAGCCATGGGAATCTGTAAATAAATATTAAGAGTATTACTGTAACTGTGGTTAGTAAACAGCTCCTCCAGTGGCTCAGTTGGTAATAGTACTGCCTGACATGGCTTGAGCCACACAGACCAAGAGAGCCCAGGTAAGCTCACGGTCTGCTCCAAGTCAGCAGATCTCAACCTGAAAGTTTACTATAGTTGGCCTCGCTGGCCTAGGTTGAGGGAGTGGGGGGGAATCAGCCAGGCTTCTCCTCCTTGACTCATAGGATACAGTTCAAGATCCTGGTCCTTCAAAGCATTCCATGGCCTTGCTCGTCCCTACTTCTGTGACCTTACCCACTACCAACCTGTCCGCTCCCTCTGCTCAACGGGCTCCGGCCTGCTTCATGTCCTCTGCCTTGCTCACCCAACCATTGGCGAGCGGGCCTTCAGTCTCTCTGCCCCCACCCACTGCAACTCCATCCCACAGTTCCTCTGCCTCGCCCCCACCCTTGCCTCCTTCAAGTCCCATCTCAAGATCCTCCTCTTCAACCGTGACTTCGTTCACCCTACTTCCCCTACCCACCCTCAACCCCTCTTGATCCCAACCATCAGCTCGGGTGTGCATCCCTGACTGTCTAGCACCTTGAGATGTCCTGACGTGAAAGGCGTTATGCAAGTATAATTTGTTGTTGTTGACTTTCGCTGTAAAGTTTGGGTTAAGACTTCCGTCGAGGAGAGGATTCAGTTCAGCTGTGATCGCTACCATCATCTGCTGTCCAGGTTGAAGATGGAGCACAGCTACTTGGGCTGTTGCTGTCCGCCACACTCTACTCTGTATGTCTGTGTGGCATGTGTCAGTCAAAGCCTTCACGCAAGGAGTGCAGTAAAAGACCAGATGTTACAAAAGTCAAAACAAATTCAATTGTCTGCTGACTGTACATTGGTTGTGTTTATCAATAGGATCGTAATATTTGTCGGAATCAAGGCATTATTTCTTTGCTTTAAATTCCTTTCTATCTCGACCAGGCATTACTCTCCCTTCTAGTCATCAATTCCCCGAGGGGTAAAGAAATACTTCCTAGTATCGGTCCTGAAATTGCCCTTTGCAACCCTGAACCTGGGTCCTTCTGTTCTGCTGTCTTGATGCATCCAAGGGTATTGATCCTAGTTTAGTTCTCTAAGTCTCTCTATGTTCCCAGTTTAGTTCTCTAAGCTGACAGGGAACTGCTGTGAAGCATTTTGAGATGTTTTGTCAAAGTGATAAGGCACTATATCAATCGCAAGTATTTTTAGAAAAAGTTATCAACCAAGAACAGCTGAAACTGGTTTGTCCTGTTTCCTTTTGTCAGCACTTTAATCCACAGCCAAAAAAACACATCCTCGCGCTAATGCTACCTTGCTGCTGGGAAACTGCCAGCCTGCTATGGCTTCTGTTCATTTCCACCCTCAGTTCGACACATCAAGTGAAACAATAGCGTCTCAGGATCATAGGCCTGAAATTTATGCCTGTATCTATTTCAGTGAAAAAAAATTAATCGCATGAAGACTTATGTTCATTGCAGCAGAAGTAATCTGCTTGTGTACACATGCAAAACTACACACATGCACATCCAGAGGATACTATTTCAGATGGACGTTAAAGATCCCATTGTATTATTCAGAAAGAGAAGGGAGTTTCTACTGGTGTCAAAAGCAACTTTGCACAAATTCATAACTGGATTTTGTTTTCCCGGTTTTGCAGCCGCACTTTGCTTCTAATCTAGATAAATGACCATTCGGATAACTGCCTTGTGAATAATTAGAACTTTTCGAATTCAAGATCCTCATCCTCACCTACAAGGCCATTCACGGCCTTGCTCCCTCCTACCTCTCCGACCTACTATCCCCCTACCTACCCGCCCGTACCCTCCGTTCCTCTGGCTCCGGTCTGCTCCACATCCCCGCCCCAACCGCCCTACTATCGGTGGCCGGGCCTTCAGCCTCTCAGCCCCGAGGCTCTGGAACTCTATCCCCCAGTGCCTTTGCCTTGCCTCCTCCCTTTCCTCCTTCAAGGCCGGTCGCAAGACCTTTCTCTTTGACCGTGCCTTCAGCTCCCCTCTCGACTCTCTACCCCCTCCTCGCTCCCTCCCTTCCCTCCCCTCAACCTGACCATTTCCCCCTGCTCGGGTCCTGACCCAACTGTACAGCGCCTTGGGACGTCCTCCCGACGTGAAAGGCGCTCAATAAACGGAATCTTGTTGTTGTTGTTGTTGTTTTACTGTATGTGGATAACGACAGAATTGCTCAACTAGCTTCTGGCAATGCACAGCAGTCTTTCCACTCCTGTCTCTCCCTAACTCTAATCTGAATCTAACCTAACTTACCTAACCTCTCCTCTCTGGAGCCCGAACTCTCACCAGTCCCAACTCTTGAGGATCAAGTCTTTTCCACTCCTCCAAATTCCCAAGGAGTTTGAGAAGTAACTGATGAAGGAGTAGCTGCCTGCGCTAGCGAGACACTTGGACAGACACATAACAAAGCACATGATACTGCAAATATAGTCTGCTGTTCACGTAAATGACAGTTTGATATCTAAAAAACAGTTGTTCCTTTGTATTTGTCCGGCTGTTTGCATATCCCTGGTGTGGATTATGCAGTTGAGGAAGTTGTTGTTTTGCAGTGATAGCATCAGTTACTTATTTGCTGTGTTACGCATGGTTTGAGTCAGGTGATGACAGAACAATCAATATCTGAAAGGGTTGCAGTGGAAACTTAATTATTTGTCGGTGGCAAATTCAGATTCCTAGGACTGGAAATAGGAATTGAATGGTACAATGTATCTGCTGCCCTGACCTGAATACATTCAAATATGTTCACATATGTAAAGGCAATAAAAATGCCACATACCAATTTACTTCTCTATCTCTTTGTGATGCAATCAGTATATGGTGATTGAGCAAAACTGTAGTTACCAGTTATGAGTTTGTAATTTAGAAACAACAGGGGTAAAATTCCACCTAAGCCTGGATTTCACTTTATCCACGTAGCATTTCAGAGCATCCAGAAATTGGTAATTTCTTAAACGCAACAACAAATTACTTGTGTACGGCGCCTTTCACATCAGGAGGACGTCCCCAGGCACTGTAGTGTTAGGGAATTGGACCCGAGCTGGGGGGTTGGGATCAGGAGGGGTGGAGGGCAGGAAGGGTAGGAAGGTGACCGAAGACGTGGTCAAAATGGAGGGTTTTGAGATGAGCCTTGAAGGAGGCTTGAAGGAGGCAAAGGGAGCGAATCAAAGGTACAATGGGATGGAGTTCCAAAATGTAGGGGCAGAGAGGCTGGAGGCCAGACTGTCCCAAACGCAGCCTTAATTTTTCTGTAAGTTCCATTTTACCCCCAAACATGTTGTAACAACATACAGCATATGTTGATGTTGTCAATTTTGCAGGTTATTATTATCTGAATTCAAAAAAAGAGGAACATTTGATTTGGTTTAAACACTTGGCAAAGTCAGTTTAAGGAACCAATTCTTCCTTATTGAGGATGAGGTCTTAAACTTTACCGCTGCATCAAAGTGCCTGATGGGTTGGGGGTTTTCAAGTGACCGGCTAGATTTGGAATAGCACATCATGAAAGACTAATGTTGGATGGTGCGAATGCATAAGCGAGGAAGGCAATGAAAAGGTTAGAAGCCTGCCTTGCTAATGGCAGAGATCTTTTTTGTTGTTGGAATTCTGAATACAGTATTTAATAGGTTTTCAGTGGCACCTCAGAATACTCAGCATTAGAAATGGAATGCACACAAGTGCAACGCGCTCCTGTTTGCTGAATAATTGCCACTGTGTTTAAAATCCGTGTTGGTGTGAATTGCAGCTCTGTGTCAGTAAGACAGGAGGAAGCTTTTCTCAGAGCGAGAACTGGCGTCAGGCCCAGCATCTCTCTCTCACTCAGTTTTATTGTAGTGACTAAGCAGCTCCTACTAACCAGTGGCTTAATAAGCAGGAGGAAATAACAAGGGAAACAAGAGGTAAAACCTGACAGGACAGATGTGAAAGCGGTAGATCGCACGCATTATTGTACCAAAACTTGGAGATAAATATTGAATGTATTGTTCTGGTTTACTGTCTCTTAGCATCTTGTATGTCAGTGCAAGGCGCTCTCTGAGACATCAAGGCTGAAGAGACATCTAGGTGATCTAGTCGTTCCTTCTCGATCACTCCTCTAACACTGGGGTACAGACTTTTTTACAATACAATACAAATTTATACTTATATGGCACCTTTCACATCGGGAGAATGTCCCAAGAGGTGTTAGCAGTCCTTGCGTGTCACCTTTTTTCTCTCATGTGCACTGATCTGTGATGGGGACAGACCCATATGTCACAGCAACCAGGCCTATGTTCCAGCTGAAGTGATATGAAAACTATACAACTGAGCGTGACTCGTGGTGATCTAAACCCCACTGATTTCTTGGCATCTTTTTGCCTGGTTTATTGGGGCTTCACAATATTTGGACCCAGTGTGAGCGACGAGTCTGTAAACGACTGGTTTCAACTTCCCTCAAGAACTACCTCCTTCCCTTTAGACATTTCCACATTACTTGTACCCAGTGAGCCTTGGGTACAAATACCGGAATGAATAAAACTCAGGCTTACCAGTTAAATATAGATAATCCATGTACCATAAAAGGAAAATAGTTTAAAATAAATAAGTAAGGCCAGAGTGTAATCTCGTTCCTTAATCTAGGTAGTGACAGGCAGTACTTTTTTGTAAGCGTTATTTTGTTTATTTGAAGCGACATCTGCTAATAGCTGGCTCGACAACCTAAAGCTGCTTGCTGTGATATTGCTTGGTTGCTTGGAGTCCTGCAGCTCAGTGGTTAGAGTACTTGCTTTGCAAGCGAGAGACCTGAGTTCAATTCCAGGCAGGGCGAAACCTTGGGCAAGTTTCCTTACTCCACACACCTAATAATAATCCTTCCAAAACCAAAAACAATAATAAATTGGTCATATTCAATCTACGACTGTTTATGGGACATTGCTGTGCGCAATTGGCTGCCGCGTTCGCCCACAAATATAGTCAATTCACTTTACAGTGTGTTCTGTGAAGCGCTTTGGGACGTCCTCCCGACATGAAAAGCGCTATATCAAATGCAAGGATTATTATTATTATTTATTATATTGTGAATTTGCAGGTAGTTTTGGCGCAGGTGTTATAGAAAGGTTGTGGCTCATTAACCTGGCCTCACCAATGTACGAGACATGGCATCAAGTTTGAAGCATTTGTAGCAATTTAAAAAAATACTAATTTATTTATTCTTTTTTTTTAAATAAACAGGAAACAATTTGGTGCTGAAGATTTCAACAAGGATATCTGCAGAACTATCTCATGACCTGAAGAAATGCTCTGGCCACTTTAGTGTGGCCTACTTTGTTTTTGAAGCTCCTTCCATGCAAAGCTTCTCAAACCTCCTGGAACCTGAGATGTATTGGGATGTTGTCCAAAATGAAACTGATGAAGACAACATGGCCCTTCAAAATGGTATGACAGAAAATTGATAATTGATAAATATCTGATTTTGCAATAAAATGTTTCAGTGGGTAAATCCTGACTGTATAAGTCAAGATCCTAAAGAATACAGGTACACTGAGACACCATATTATGTTTGACATTATCACAAACACTTACAACAGGGGGGGGGGGCACGGATTTAAGCTCAATAGAGGAAGGCGGAACAAATCATTTTAAGTTTCACAGAGAGTGATGAGAATGTGGTAATGGAGCTCGGCCCGGTCAGAGGTGGTGAAGCTGACAGGAAACTGCTGAGTTCAGGCAAATTGCACAAAATTGATTCCTCCATTAAAGCGCTGGAAATCTCCCTTAAGGTCACACAAGCATTTATAGGTGTTGGTGTATGTAAGCGTTTGAGTACAAAACACAGTTGCTACACTTTACTTTAAAATCCTGTGAAGTGCTTTGAGATGTTGTGTTGAAGTGAAAGGCGTTACGTCATTTCCCGAACAAACAAAACATCTGTGCGTTTCTGTTCAAAAGCCATTTTTGCTGTGAGGAGAGTGGAGTGTATGAGATGAGAAACTCAACTGATTGTGAGACACTGCTGTGCGCAGATCGGCTGCAATGCTCACCTGCAAATATGCAGTCACGATGTTTTAAAGTAATAATAATAATCCTTGCATTTGATACGGCGCCTTACCACATCTTCAAGTCGTTTGAAAATGCTTCAAAAAATATATATCCTGTGAAGCATTTTGAGATGTTTTGACAAAGTGCTATGTCAATCGTAAGGTGTTTTAAAATAATTATTATCAACCGAGCACATCTGAAACAGGGTTGTTCCTTTTCTTTTGTCAGTACCTTAATCCACAGCAAAAACAAACACACCCTTATACTAATGCTACCTCTCTGCTGGGGAAACTGCCAGCTTGGTCTGACTTCTGGTGCTCTGTTCATTTCCACCCACAGTTCTGCACGTAAAGTGAAAGAATAGAGTCTCAGGATCATAGGCCTGAAATTCCACCTGGTCTTTCAGCGGAAAATTTAACATCTGCTGAGAAAGAATATTATTTCAGCTTCCAGCTGAGGATTGAATGCCTCCTGGTGCCAAGGCATTTCCCAGCAATTTTGAGAACTAGTTTATATAAAAAAAACCTGCAATGCATTGATATGTCAACCAAGATGGATGTCAAACATTTTTAAAAAGGGAAGTCAGATACAGGAACTGAAAAAAAGACTTGCAAGGTCCTGGGTTTGATTCCATGTCTGTACTGAGCAGTGGCTGAGATCAGTAAAAGCACTGATCTTACCCAAGGAAGCAGTTGTCTGCTTACAATAGAATTCATTGCTCACGATCTTTTGGCTAACATCAAGTGTAGTTTTAACTGGTGTCAGAAGTTGATCAGGTACACAGATTATATTCTGGCCATAGTGTAGGTAGATGGACATTGTTATTGACTTGGACTGGTGCCTACACTGCCTCTGGCTTTAGGTTGTCAGTCTGGTTTGAGGCATTGGATTACCTATAATAAGATTTGAGCTTTTGCTCAGCGAAGCTGGGTTTTGAGGCACTGCATAACACAACTGTCTATTTGTCATTGGTTTGCGTAAAAGAACAGTAGAACGCAGTGCCTTTGGGTTCTGCATGGCAAAATCAGCCATGTTCCAGTGCTCGTTGGATATCACTTCAGGATTCACACGAAGAATCTCTCAGCTATCTCAAGCTAGAGGCTCGTTGCTGAAGAGTTGACATTTTGGTTACGTCCAGAAACATTGGAAACTGACTACATATTTTACAAGTTGAAAGGGCACATAGGTGTTAGACTGGGCATAACATTGTCATTTCACTCATAGCTGGTGGAAGTACAGTTCTTCTGTGTGCATATTTTTTCTCTCTCTCTCGCTCACTTGCTATCTCTCTCACTCACTTGCTTTCTCTCATTCACGTTTGCTTGACCTCGCTCTCTCTCACTTACTTGTTCTCTCTCTCTTTTACATATTACACTTGAACACAGAATAATCCTAGTTCCTCTTTCCACAGAAATAAAACACGTGTTTGACAGGGCCTTTCTATGTGTTCTTGAAAATTTGCACCCAACATGCCGTTTTCACAAAGAAATGAAATAAACAATGGGATTCTGTGCTGGTTTTGAATATATTTAAATGCATATTTAATTGTTGAGTGGAATCAAACCAAGTGCCCAAAGCCGTGAGAGAGATGTCAAAGATTGAAATCTACAAATTAGATTCACAAAGAGGTAGCTAATGGATAGTTATCAGATTGCGAAGACTAGTAAGAGGCAATGAGTGCTGAAAATGATACAGTAAGGTAATTTTAGATTGCAGCATGCACGCATGACACAAGACATAAGAAATACATACAGAAAGTGAAACATGAATATTAATGCCTAACATGGATTGGAAAAAGGAGATCGCTTCAATGCCTTTCACTTTGGGAGGACATCCTAAGGCACTTGACAGTCCTGACTTGGCACCCAAAGGTGTGATCAAAGAGGATGTTCTTGAGACGGACCTTAACGTTCACTTGAACTGGCAGATGGGACCTCGATTTAACATATAATCAGAAGGACAGCATCTCTGGCAAAGCAACACTCCCCCAGCACTGCATTAGAGTGTCTGCCTAGACTGTGAGCTCAAAGTCTCAAATATACGGAGCTTGAGCCCACAACCTTCTGACTCCGAACATACAATGCTATCGACTGAGGCTAGGCTAATCCCTAAAATACCATTAACTAGAGATGCCCCCCTTTCAGGAACATTGGGATTTTAAATTCTCTTGCAATGTACAAATAGGAATACCTGAGAGTTAAAATAAAAGAACTGGAATGCCATGTCGATTTGTTACTATTCCCACAAACTGAATTGTAATGTGTACGTATGTCATTTAGGAGGGTCAGCCTTCACAATTAGGGTTTTCAAACTAAATTTGAGGCTTGACGTTTAATGAATGACATTCTCTAATGAGTGTCGACTATTGAAATCATAATTAACGGAGGATAGTAGCTGCTTCTTCTGAACTACAAGTGAGAGACATCAATCTCAGAGAAATGGTGCATCTGCCATCTGGCTGGGACTGCCACACAGTGGATTCAGCCTGTGAGGTCACACTGAAGCTGCATAGATTTGTTTTCCCCAGAGCACTGTATTTTCTCCACTTAAATTGTGCTGTGAGAGTGGAAGGGTTGGATTTCACAGTAAAATCAGCAGCAAGGTCAGAATAACTACAGACAAAGAATGAGCCTCTGATTAGTGAGTGGGATGCTGCCTCCAAAAAGCTGTATATTTTAAGATCTTACTGAAACTCGGTGGATTCAACATTGAGGTTATACATCAACTATTGAAGCCACTCTTTAAAGGTTGGCTTCAACATAGTGAAATATGGACCACTTACATAAGCTCAGGTTTGCTTCCATGGTACAGTAATAATCTTCGATATACAGGAAGAGCATTTTTTGCATTGGATCACAGAATGTGACCAGGTTAGTAATTCTGAGCGTGTTCGGTGAATGCTGTCAACGGAGGTGATTGCTAAATGGGATAAAAGTTGTTAAGGAAGATGAACGTAAAATAAGATTTAATTTCTGTCTTAGCTCTGAATGTTGTCAAATTCAATTTGAAAATGTTTCTTTCAGTAATTGAGCTTGGAATTAATCACTTCTTATTCACAACTCTTAACATTGTATATATGTTTTTTAAAATATATATTTTTGGAGTGTTTTTCTTTAAATGAGGTTCCCTTAACACGAATCGCCCGGGTGTATGTTTTGTCCTCATCAAATATGTGCTAACGTTCTACATGATGTTCTAAATTATATATAGGGCACCACAACTGGTAAGGGAAAAGGTTTTTTTTATATCTGTCTTTACCGACTTTACCTTTAGAAGGCAGGATTGTTAATCTCTCCTATTTTTGGACTGGTTCTGTTAATCCATCATTTTCTTGCTGAATTGTAAGAAGTGTAATGATACCATTATAGATGCTTCCACATTTTAATGATATCCTCCTGAGTCATCGAGGACATCATAGTATCTTGCAATGGATGAATAATTAATAAGCCTCTATTATTTCATTTCAGATCTGTTGGGAAATGCAGCAGTCGGTATTTTGCTTCACAGTAAAATCATTGATTCCTTTCTCTGGTTTCAGAAAAGAAAGGAATATTGTTGGCTGTATCTCTACACTTACTGTCAGCACATATTCAAGTATAAACTCTCTGTGTCAGACATAGTTGTTATGAAGATTTGGGTACCAAGTGCCAGTGACCCAGGGCCAATTATAACATATAATAATAGAGTATAATTGCATCAGGCATATAAAAATAACTGGGGTATACATTACATCAACCATAATGTTTTGGCCGCTCAGTACACAGTGAGTAGAGAATCTCGAGCAAAATAATTTTTAAAGTTGTCTGTCAATTTTTTTTAAACTAAACGAAAGTTAAAATACATTTTAATTGAGTTATATCAGAAATGTTAGCATTCCTATTTCTGTTACATTTGTCGAACTCTTTTGCATTTATTTTGTTAACTTATTCACTAACATGCGTGTTGTATCAAGGAACTTCCATGCCAAAATACTTATCAACTACTGGAGGACAGTAATTGATCACCACCTCACTGGTTCCAGGTGGGGATCAATAACTGTGCTTGCATTTGATGTTACGCCTTTGAAGTCTGAAGGACGTCTCATTGCGCTTAACAGGATTTATTGTAAAGTGAGGTGACTGCTTAGTTTGTAGGCAAATATGGCAGCCAATTTGCACACAATAGTGTCCTACAGTGTAATATAGTTCCGTTAGTTTACAATGATTTTATACTGTGATCAAAAGCGAGGTTTAACCTGGGCATCCTTGCATGACGTGAAGCGTTATTGAATGTTTTATTTGGCAAACTCTAAGCATAACATAACATGTAGGAGCAGGAGTAGGCCATTCGGCCCTTCGAGCCTGCCCCGCCATTCAATCATGGCTGATCTTCTAATCTAACTCCAGCTCATAAACCTAACCCTGCCTTATCCCCAATGACTGTTATTCGCAGGAACGGGTCCTGTGGCCATGGGAAGCAAGCAGTCCACCTTGGGTAACCTGCTCCTCAATCAGTCCCCAACTATAGAAAACATTCAGTCGGCATACAAAGAAGGGGAATCTGCCAAAGCTCGGGACCTTGTTCGCCTATCTTGTGAGGGGACCAAATGTAAAGTGGAGAAGGTAAGAATGTAACAGTCCTGCTGGGGTTAAATTGAGAGAGGCCAGTGTGGAAGAGAGGAGGGAATAGGAGACAGAGGTAAAATACTGCAACTTAGATCTTTTTCATTATTTCAAATTACTGGCCAAATAAGCTCAAACCTCTTTATGCTTCTAAAAGGATTCTTGAAGAAAAAACTTCATGCATTTGGCTGTTCTCCTACGCCTCCTGGAGGCCAGTTAAGAGTGGCCTTGGTGCAAACCCTGAATGCAATTAACATTTGACCTGGGAGCAAAGGGCAACAGGGTAAAGATTCATATTTTTGCACAAACGCGCTGCAAAATGCTTTAAGGTAAATTGTCTCAAACAAAAAGTTTCTACACAAAACTTCTTCACATAGCTACAGTTTTTTCGGCATTCACAGGATACATATCACAGTCAGTCCAATATTTTTTCTCAGTAAGCAACCCATTTGTAATTAATTATCTCAATCTGGTTGTGTGTTTGGTGAACAAAACTTGCGTTTGCTCCAAAGTTATGAGATGTCCTGACCTCTAAGGAACCAAATCTCTGAAGGGTCCTCACTGGGCAAGTTAGATAAAGTTGCATAGAGTGCCACAACATGGAAATAAGCTATTCCTCCCAGCTAGTGAATGCCAGAGTTTATACTCTACTCGAGTCCCCGTGCCTCTTATTCTCAGTGATGTGCCTTTATTCCGTGGCTTTTGCAAGTTTAACAATAGTTTTTTAAGGAAATCACCAAGGATCACCATTACATGGGATTGAAACACTAAAGCCAGATAAATACTTTATCAAAGAGCAATTTCAGACAGACACCAGGAAGGTTTTCTTTACCCAGATGGGCCGAAGAGTCTACTTCATCCGAACGAATCTTATGAACTTGTAATCCTCAGGATATTGTAGAGCTGTTGCTCTTTGATACATACTATAAAGGTACATGAGTGGTCTGTACAACATTGTCTTCTTAAAGCTGCAGAGTCTCGAGTGAGTTGACCAACTGCTTACAATGTTTAGCCCCACTTGAGGATGTGTCGCTGTTTATAACTTGAACCACGAAGATCTTATAGTTTTGTCTTCCTTTCTAATGATACACATATTGTTGCCTCAGACTGCGTTATTATCATCTCTCCAGTGAATTGCTCCCATCCCAGTGCCTCATTTGCAAGTTGTTGTTAAAGGATTTTTCTTTATTAAATGCAAAAGTCGGTTTCTAGTTTCAGACTGATCAGTTTAAACATTTGTTTCACTTCCACCTTTCTATAAATATACTTTGTGAGCAGTTGCATCATGTAGTTGTTTATCCAGCCCTGTAATTTTGACGTTAATTGCTGCGAACAAGTATAAAATCTTTTCTATCCGGCTCAGAACCTAAAGGCCTGGTCAATATTTTCAATGTATAATTTAGGGAGAAGCAAGAAGCAACCTTGTACACTGCATCCTCCAAAGACCTGCTTTTTAGTTTCAATCGAATAATGATGTAATATTTGGTCGATGCAAATGCCTGGGTAAGAAACTGTTTGTACCCAATCCCAACAAGGCAATTTCAATATTGAAAAGGATGTGCGTTTTCTCAAGTCGTGAGTTTTCTCTTTGTTCCTTGATTGAATGAACATACAAAACTTGCATCTATATTAGTGCCTTTCATATCAGGAGGACATCCCCAGGAGCTGATAGATAATAACTTCATAAATTACCGTAAAGCTGAATTTTTTGAATGAGGTATTGCTTTTTCAACACTGTGCCCAACTGTTGTACAGCATTCACTGTACATTCACACCAACTTAGCTGGCTGCACACAACACTTTCAGTCATTTCAAAAATCGTTTTGTAAGCTATTTTATTTCTTCTCTTTCGGACGCCGAATAACTATGGCCATTGGGGCGAGTAACCATCCCGTTCCCAGATATCTGCCTGCACTGCATTGAAACGATAGCTCAAGTCCATGACCTCTCCTTTCTGACAGTGTTGGCTTCCACTCAGCAACAAATGCTATCGACGCAGAATATCGGGCCTGGGTCCTAGCACTGTGGCACTTAGTCCTTGAATAGGCCCCTGTGTTTAGGAAGATAGGAATGTGCAAGACCAGAGAAGATGATTACAGTCCGCCTGGCCATCGATTTTTTCAAAATATCATTGGTTAATCGTTCCAAGACGCTGCCCTGCACGAATGGTTCTAGATAGATGCAAGCTGCGGTTGCTGTTGTTGTCGGTCGCTGTAACTCAGAGTATTTTCTAATGTCTGGTAATGTTTGTTACCAGTACGAGCTGTTAAACATCACTGCAGCATATGGGGATTTGGAGATGGTGCAATATCTGCTTCAGGAGGCACAGGTGGAGTTGCCAAGGAAACCAAGTGATGAGAATCCAGCTGTTGTTGCTGCGTACTGTGGTCATAAGGAGATTGTCAGAGAGTTCCTGAATTCATTGCCAGGTGAGATGTAAAAATACTGAGCGTGCTATGCTGTACTCAGCCAAAAGGCAAACGCCTGACACACACACACACACCCAAACCAATTCAAGGTTTCAGCATTCCAGGCTCAATAAAAAGCTTCTTTCTTTGTAATATTGGAAGGATTTGTTGTGGCTGAAGTGATGTCACTTTTTTAAGTGCTCTGAGGCGCTACCCCATGTGAAGGCGCTACATAAATGCAAGTTGTTATTACTTTCTCTTTCTTTCTCCCTCTCTCTCCCTCTTCCCCCCCCCCCCACCCCCTCTCGCTCTCTCTCTCTGGCTGACTTGGGATTTATTGATTTCTGTTATCGGATGACTGAAATATAGGACAGTGCAGCATTGACATTCCCCACCTTCGGCAGCGCAAAACAGAAGGGAGTTTTATAAATTTCCACCCAAAAAAACTCAGTTCAGTCTGGTGGGTCTTCAACCGTGTTCAGATGCACTGGTTGAATTTTCACCAATCCAGGTAGTCCTCGGACCTTCTTTGTTCATTGTGTGATCTGATGACCAATAGCCACTTGCATAGCTGTGAAACCATTGCTTTTGTCTGCAGACTCGAGCAAGTACAAGGATCTGCTGAGCTGGATGCTTGCCACAGCCTGCAAGCAAGGACATCTGGAGGTAGTGCAGCTCTTAGTACGTGAATACAAGGCGGACACAGACAGCTGTGCGATGAAGGCAGATAACCTTCCAGTCATTACTGGGTCACCATTGTATGCAGCTGTAAGGACAGGTATGCGGGCAGTTCTTCCTCAAGATCTGTGTAGATTTCTAGACCTTGGCGACATGAATTTATCTTTGATTTGATACTGATCACTTATCATTATAAAGTTGATGGCGGAATTGGAAAAGGGACAATAGAGTAATAGCTAGAGAAAGGGCTTCACACTGTAGGCCATACTTTCTACAGGGACTCTTAACTCACCAGAGCTCAGCTCCAAGCCATCTCTCTATCTCTCTCTGTGCTGTCTTGCTTTGTATGTTGTCAGTTCGTAAGAATAGGAGTACGTCCCAACTCTTCCCTCCACGAGCTGCAGATTATTCAGAAATCTGCAGCTCGTTTCCTCTCACATACTAAGCTCCGCCAGCCGATCACACCCATCCTCGCCTGCTCCACTGGCTCACCATCCCCCAGAGGATAAGGTTCAAGTTCCTTGTCCTAACCTCTAAATCCCTCCACAGTCTTGCTCCTCCCTACATTTGCGACCTACTAAACCTTTACCAACCTGTCCGCCCCCTCCTCTTAGCTTGCACTAGCTTGCTCCATGTCCCCCGCTCCACCATCAGCAGTCGGGTAGTAGCTAAATTATTGCAACATTAAGGTCTATTTTGCAGTATTTCTCAACAAGACTCTTGAATAATCATTTTAAAATTCCCACCCACCTTCATTCCAGTGTGTTCTACATCCGGAACAATACACGCAAGTCGGTGTGACATATCCTGTTATCAGGAGTCCCCATTTGTGGCATCTGTTTACCTAGCAGTAAGTAGGAACCCAGTTGTTAGTCAGTTGGTGGATCGCTTTTCCAGTGGTAATAATTCCTTAAAAAAGAATAATAAATTGGTCACTTCAATCCATGCCTATTTGCGGGACACTGCTGCTCCGTTTCACCCACAAAATGTACAGTCAATTCATTTTACAGTATACTCTGTGAAGCGCTTTGAGATGTCTCAAAGACGTGATAAGACGCAGTATCAAATGCAAGGATTATTATTATTAATATTATCTGGACAGAGTCTAGAGATTCTCTTCTTTCTGCTCCCCTTTCCTCTTTTTTTAAGAAAGAGCAAAGAGGTTTTTTTATTAAATCTGTCAGCTGAGCTGATTCAGCTAACAGACTCACTTCCCATCACTATGCGAGCATTTCATTTATTGATATTGAGAGACAGAGAAGTAACTCAGCCAAAGGAACTAATCCTGGGGTGTTGAGAGATTGTGGCAGTGTATTTGTGCCTATGAAGCCATTTGCTGTGCTTATAATGTTGAGTTGACTGTGAGATAATCTTTGAACACTAATACTGTACTTTCAGGTAAGCCAATTTTGCATAACAAACAATTTTATTCCCTTGACTCTGAACTGGAATCCCGATGCAAGGCTAAGTAGATAACTGAACACAGGGGAGATATTCCCACCTGGGTCTAGATTTACTCTAATTATGTAACATTTCAGGCATTCTATTCCAAACGCGGGAATTTCCTCGCGTAGGTGGCAAACATGGAACTCGGTCTGGTTTGAATACTCTTGAGCATGGGAATGAGTCACCGCATGTGTCGGATGCCTGGCTGCTTCCCATAAAATGTAGCATTTCTGAGTGGGCAGAATTTTGCAGATGTTGAATTCAGAAGGATATTTATTTCTCTTGCAGGGAATGAAGAGATTGCAGGATTTTTACTTCAGAACGGAGCCCTCTTCTCTTCTTACATCATAATGGATCACCCTGAATTCAGCAAGCGACTTCTAAGAAAGTATTTTACGGAGGAAAGCAGCAAGTATCAAGACACCCTTACACAAACAGTAAGCAAACAGTTTAATTTAAAGTTAAAGAGAAAATAACTGGTTAATAATTGGGAAGTGATAATTCACATACAAGTAACACGTGCTGGTAATGGGAATTCAATGACCTCTATACTTCTTCTGCTCGAAACATTGCAGCTTTTGGTGTTGAAATGAAATTTGCACTGGATGGAACACATACATGTCCTTAAAACGTTTCAGACAGGCATGTGCAGTACCTATGTTCTGCCACTGGAGGACACTCTTATCACCCCATACCAGATTTAACAACGAGATTAAATTGCATAAGATTTATATTAATTATATTAATCCTAACGTTTGATACAGGCCTTTCACGTCAGGAGGACATTTCAAAGCATTTAACAGGGTTTCCTGTAAAGTGTAGTGACTGTGTATTTTGTTGTAAGACATACCTGTTCACCTACAAAGTACACAGTCATTACACTTTACACTGTATCCTATGGAACACTTTGAAATGTCCTCCCAATGTGAAAGGGGCATTATTAAATGTAATTACATTATTAAATGTAAGAATTATTTTTTGTTTTGTCCTTATGGCATAAAATCAATCTCATGTAGTACCTAACCTGAGTTGTTAATGTCATTCTGCAATGCGTGATTAAATTCTTACGTTGTCAGAACCAGGTTGCCTCAGGTTCATATATTCTGATGACTGGCAAACGCTTAATCTTAATCTTTTTCGTACAATTCAGTAGCAGTTATTTCACCCATTATACTGAGTACAATGTGCTTCAGTTCTGTACTCTGTCAGCTAGAATACATTACAAAAAAAAGGCAATGTACAACCCAATATCATTTGTTTATCTTCTTTAATGTGGATAAAACTGTTGCAGTTGCATAAGAATAACAATTGGATTCCAGGAACTACACTGAAGCTACAGTGACAGTACGTGGACTTGCAGTCAGAGAGACCGAGTCTGAGTTGTAGCCCAGTCACATAAAATGGGCTAACTTCATTGCAGAAATGTTGCCAGTTCTTGAATTGGCTGCCAGATGGAGCGCTTCACAATCCATGAGGGAAGTAGAAGAACTGGCAAGAAGCAGGTTGTCTGCAGTTTGTATATTCTGATGACAGATTAACACTTGACAAGGCCTCCAGGGGCTTCAACAGTCCAAATCCAAACCATAATTTCCCCAATCAGGAACGCAGGAGCGAGTCGGGACCAAAACTAGGGAGAAATGTATACAAGTATATATTATAGTTATTGTATTCTTAAAATTATTCCAATTACGTGAATTAATGAAAAAAAGGTCAGTGAAATATGTAACGGAAAAAAGGTCAGTGAAATATTAAACTCCTAAAGCTGTTTTGGTTGCAATCCAGCTTTAGAAGATTAATCTCTTTTTGGAGCCACTTGTTAGCTGTGGTTATAATTATAACTGATGTATCTGTTTCAGTCTGGAAGGTTTTCCTGTGTTTTTTCTTCTTTTCTACATTGCCATCTAGTGGTAGATTTTGCTATTTCTGTAGGTGTCTTTTCACAATTACCTTCTTCTGGTAGACGTTAAAGATCCCGCTACATTATTCAAAAAAGAGATGGGTCTTTCTCAAGATATCGTGTCCCACACTCTCTCCCAGACAGAATTAGTCATTGACTTTATGTCTAGCTGAGGGACATTGTAGGACGCAAATTGACAAACGTCTGGATACAAATAGAAATCAGTGTCCTCACTCTGGATTCCAACATAACATCTTTAGGACTTTCACATTTTGGATTTACATCATTACAATAATTTTAAGAAAATCCATCTATGATGAAAGCGGTTTTAGCTGGTTAACCTCCAGGATTACTCTCAGCTCACACTCTGGATGGAGTCCCTAAGTCTTGGCTCTTGCCAATCTGCACCTAATACTTTCCTCAACTAAATAAGCAGAGTGCATCTTTCCGGGAGAGAGTGTGTGAATACTGTTCCAGACACAGAAATTTCCATGTGTAGGTGTCACACTGCCAACAACTAGCATTTATGGAGCACCATTCGATACACAGCATCTTGGAGCTATGTTTCGTACATGAAACTCTCAGTCTGGTTTGCATACTCTTAAGCATGGTGATGTGATGGCATGGGTAGGACTGCTCGGGTCAGACACCCAGCTGACCAAAACCATAATTCATCTAGAAAAGCTGGGGAAAGTGTGATTCTTTGCCATCGGTGTTGTGTTTGGATTTCAGGGTCTTTCGCTGAAATGGTCTGAGCTGAAGCTTCCCTGGCTGGAGCTGGACTGGTTCATGGACATCTCCAGCCAAATAACAGAACTGGACCTGCACGCCAACAACTTGACATTCCTTCCTTCGATTATTCCCTGGGGATTAGTACATGTGAAAAAACTGAATCTGTCTGAAAACCATCTCAAGGAATTGCCCAACACAGCTTCATCTGAAGAAATTCTCTGCACAGGGTAACTGATTAAAAAAAAATAGCATTGGTTGGCCAATACTTTATTTCCAGCTTTACCTGGTGCATTGGAACTGCTTATGCCTGCTTAAAGATAAAACATATATAATTCCTTCTGGAAATTCAGAATAGGTAGATAAATGCTTATTAATAGTATTAATGATATTATTATAATGATATATTATTGCTACTGATAATAAGTATAATATCAATACTGTTATTAATTATAATCATTATTACTTTAATAATATTAATACTTCCTTGCCTCCTTCAAGGCCTATCTCAAGACCCTCCTCTTCGACTACCCATTCGGTCACCCCCCTTCCCCTACCGTCCCTGCCCCCCACCAGTCTTGATCCCAACCAATTCCTGATTATCCAGTGCCTTGGGATGCTTTCCTAACATGAAAGGCTCTATACAAGTGTAATTTGTTGTGATTGTTATTACAAGTAACTTCTATTGCTGTGCACTCGATAAACATTATGGCGAAGTATAAAACCAGCATTGTGCTGTGATCCCAATAGGATACTTGAGATTGATGTTTCGAGAAACCAATTGACCTGCTTGCCTTCTGGATTTTTACATCTTACAAAACTTCAGAAGCTTACAGCTTTCAGAAATGCAATGGACAAGTTATTTGATGAACAAAAAGGTACAGTGGTCTTTATTTTGCTTGAATCGTCTTCAATTTCTTCTTAGTACCAATGCAGGCTGTGTGACAGGTCAGCGTAATGGTTGATTATGTTTTCTCTAGCAACAAACTGGATTGGATTGAGAAAGCTTCAAGCGATTGATATTTCAGAAAACAAACTTGAGTGTTTGCCGACAATCTTTGTGCACTGTTTCAAGTCTCTTATCAGCCTGAACGCATCTCAAAATGCACTAAAGCAGATTCCAGAACCGTGGGCCTGCCCTCTGGTAAGTACAATCCTCGAGTCATTCATTCTTTCAAATTTTTTTGTTAATCCAATTTAAAGTTTCAGAGGAAGGTGGAGGAGCATTTTACCAGGTCTAAAATCACTGAGTTATGATGATAAGAATAAAAAATCCTTGTGTTTGAAATAGCACCGGTAATGTCAAAATATCTCAAAACACTTCACAGATCTTTAACATCCCCCTAAACAGGCAGATTGGTATTTAACATCTCACCTGAAGGACGGCATTGCCAACAATGTGTCGCTGGCTCCCCCAACACTACAGTGTGAACAGATATTTGATCTGATCTGACTGAAAAATAGACTAATAGCGGGCACGAACCAGATTTTTAAACACCATAAAAGGATTTGGATGTAGATCAATTCTGTTTGCGTAAGCGGGAGAGAGAAAATCAAGATAACAAGAATAACAATAATCCTTGCATTTGATTTAGTGCCTTATCACGTCTTCGAGACGTCTGAGAGCACTTTACAGAATACATTGTAAAGTGAATTGACTGTATATTTTGTGGGCGAAATTTGGCAGCCAATTGCGCACAGCAGTGTCCCACAAACAATCGTGGATTGAGTGACCAATTTATTATACAAGACGGAATGTTAGTTATATAAAGCAATGCTGTGATGTGAATAACAATGATTAATGAAACAAGAAAGAGATCAGATAGCTGAGCTGCCTGTTATCTTCATCCCGATAGCTTGTCTAAGTTTTGACACGAGTGACGCTGTCACTGGCATTATCAGCAGCATAAAAAAGGTTTGGCAAAAATGTTTTGAAAAACATGGCCCCTTTATATCAGAGTGTAATTCAAGGAGTGGATAAAATGCAGAATTCTTGTCATTGCTTCTAGGAATCCTGCAACATGTCTCAGAACTTACTGGAGCAACTTCCAAGCACTTTATGCGTCTTCTGGAGAAAGAGTCTTAAAGAGGCAGATTTTGGTGACAATTTACTGAAAGAAGTCCCTCAAAACCTCTTTGAGCTTCAGGTAATTCCTTCACCACAGTTGAGCATTCTTTCTCCTCTGAAGCACTTTACTGAATAGGTGTGTCATCACTCTAATCTTACTTGCAAATATGGACTCAGCAGGTCATGAAAGTCCAAAGTATCTGTCGTAAAATGAGTGATTTATTTGTTATAAAATTTGTCCTTAACCTAAGGTGAAGCCTCTATCCTACATAATAATAACAATCCTTGCATTTAATGCAGCACCTTCCACATTGGGAGGACATCCCAAAGTGCTTCGCAACAACAACAATAAATTACACTTGTCTAGCGCTCTTTACATCAGAAAAACGTCCCAGGGCGCTGAAGGCACAGGGTAATCCTGTAAAGTGGAGTGACTGTGTTTTGTGGGCGAACGTGCACAGTTTAGCAGCTGATCATCGATGTGGGGATGGTTCCCGTTTCCCAATGTGACTCAGTGTGAAAGACGTCGGGCTGACCTCCATTTCCTCTGTTGCGTTTTGGTTCTGAGATCCCTGAGATATTCACAAACTCTCAGTTCCCACTCCCAGCTTATTGTTATTGTTAAGTGCTTTGTAACGTCCTCCCGAAGTGAAATCTACAATGTAAATGTAAATTTGTATTTGTATTGTGATTTCATATCTCCATCAGGGGAATCCCAGCATGGCAGATCATCCAGATTCCACCATTAGTCAATAAATCCAAGCGAAAATACAGCAATGAGGCTTTGGTTGACATTTGCATTGTTATTCCATGCAAAATTCCGTGAAATGTTCTCTATTTGCATGTTAGAGTTTCACTGCTCTTGCACTAACAAGAATTGGTATTTTTTGTTTAATCTTGTTTTAGGCTTTGCATTCAATGAGGTTGTGTGGAAATCAATTAGCTGTACTTCCTTGTCCAGACAAGTGGCAATGTGTCCTCCTGAAATCCCTCGATCTTTCTAAAAATCAACTGGGAAAGTAAGTAATACTTTGCTGCAATATTCGTTTCAAACGTTGTTTCTTTTTAAGGTCTTCAGAGTACAATGTACATCTACATATCTTTTACAATACAGTACAATTTACAATAACAGCAGCATCAACAACAACAACAACAAGATTTCATTTAGAGTGCGCCTTTCACGTCGGGAGGACGTCCCAAGGCGCTGGACAGTTGGGTCAGGACCCGAGCAGGGGGAAATGGTCAGGGTGAGGGGAGAGAAGGGAGGGGGCAAGGAGGGGGTAGAGAGTCGAGAGGCGAGCTGAAGGCACGGTTGAAGAGAAAGGTCTTGAGACCGGCCTTGAAGGAGAAAAGGGAGGAAGCAAGGCGAAGGCACTGGGGGATGGAGTTCCAGAGCCTAGGGGCTGAGAGGCTGAAAGCCCCGCCACCGATGTTAGGGCGGGGGATGTGGAGCAGACCAGAGCCAGAAGAACGGAGTGTACGGGCAGGTAAGTAGGGGGATAGTAGGTCGCAGAGGTAGGAGGGAGCATCGTGCATTTATACAGCGCCTTTCATGTTAGGAGGACGCCTCATAGAGCTTTACATGGCTAGAGTCGGTAGCTTATATTCGCAATCACTTTGTTAAACATAGAAACTTAAATATTTAAATTTTAGAAGTTTCTTTACAGAAACTATATGAATTTCAAACAACCATTTCCAAGTCGACGAAAATAAAACAACATTTTGAATGAACTTTGAAACCCCGTAGAATTTTATGTGATGCGAGGAATTAATTAAGGATTTGTGCATCTTTTAACGTTTTGCTGTTCATTGTTGTTCGCAGGGGTGAACAGGTAACTAGGAATAGAAAATCCGGTTTTTTTACTACACGATCGAAAAGAAATTCAGAGGCAGGTAAAGGAACAGGAATGACATTGGATTGTGTACCATACAATACAAATTTTCGTTTATATGTTCACGTCAGGAGGATGTCCCAATAACAGTACTGGCTGGGCACCCTAGCTGGGGGTGGGAGCAGAAGATATGAGGTGGGAAATGATGTCCGAAATCCTGGTCAAAGCTGTGGGTCTTGAGACAGACTCTGAACAAGGTGAAGGAGAGAGGGAGGCAGTATAGTTGGAAAAGAAATTCTACCCAAGTCTAGATTTACTCCATTTCCATATAATTTCACAATTTGAGAAGTTCTTCCATTCAATCTTAATTTTGTAAGCGGTTGGCTGTAGGGTCTTTTAAAAGATGCAGAAAATCCGTTTCAAAATTATGATGAAAATTAGGAACTTGACAAATTCTGCACATCCCAGCAGGCTAAGGAAATAGAGTACGTCTGGATCCAGGTGGAGTTTGATTTCCAGTATGCGTCAGTGAAAATGTAGATCTGTGTAAACAGGAGCAGAATGTTGGGAGACACCAACTGTTCTCAGCACCTTCACTAGTCAACATTAGACAACAACAATAACTTGTATCTACCTAGTGACCTTCAGAGAGAGGATTGTGTCAGAGCGCTTTACAGACTGGACCTGAGGAAGGAGGGGGGTGACTGTAGGCACTGTTGAAGAGGTAAGTTCATAGGTAGCTTTTTGAAGATAGATAGAGGGAAGGTGAGACGGAGGAGGTTGAGGGAGGCAGTTCCAGAGGGTGAAGGTGGAGGGGGCAGAGTGGCTGAAAGTGAGTGAGTGCAATGGCAACACTGACATTGAATACTATTGTAGCAAAGCCCTTGCTGTCTTATTTCAGTTCCATCTGTCGAATTCCCACAATTTCTTGGCGAATGCTTAGAGGTTCTACACCTGGACAACAATTTTCTTGATTCAGTCCCTCAGTCTGTGTGTTGGTTGAAATCTCTTTCAGAGCTCTACCTTTCCAAGTAAGTGAAGCGTCCTGTGTGTAATGCTCAGGAAAGAAAGGGTGCATTTGATAGTCACCTCCTGTGGACATGACGGGGTTAAATCATGCTCAAATTTTATTAAATAATTAAAAATATACGTGTATTGGGTAGTTCTCTATGAAACCATCCCAAGACTCAGCCTCATCCCTATTAGAAAAACAAAGGGCTTCTGGAAGATATCACAAGACTTTTATTGTTTAACAGTAATCATATATTATGTGTGTCTTCGCCGCTGCTTGGCAGCCCAGACTGCAGTATGAATTTATCTGCAGAAGATTATTTGCTATCTAATTTCACAATGCCCCTGCTGTGTAGGTGTGCTCCCGTGCAATGTCGTGATAAAGTACAGTAAATGTAAACTCTGTGCAGAGAGATGGGAGTCCTATTTATTGAGTCAAATACTCCTGCAATTATAATAATAATAATCCTTGAATTTGATATAGCGCCTTATCATGTCTTCCAGATGTCTCAAAGTGCTTCACAGAATATACTGTAAAGTGAATTGACTGTATTTTTTGTGGATGAAACTTGGCAGCCAATTGAGTACAGTAGTGTCCCACAAACAAGTCATGGATTAAGTGACCAAATTATTTTTTTTCTGAAGGGATTATTACTCACAGAAAAGCAATTCACCAATCAACCAACAACTGGGTTCCTACTCACTCTTAGGTAAACAGAGACGCGTGGAGTAAGGAAACTTGCCCAATGTTTCGCCTTACACGGGAATCAAACCCAGGTCTCTCGCTAGTGAGGCGAGTGCTCTTAACTGCTAAGCTACAGGACTCCTTTACAGGATTCCATGATAAGTCAGGCAGCAAATGAAAAGAGGAAGTTGCCATGCCAGGAGGACGGTTTTATGAGAGAGGTGGACTAAAATGCAATCCTTTCTTTCCCCAAATAATTAGTTTGACAAGTTTATACAAAAAAAATATATATTTATATATTGCTTTCCAAGGTAAAATAAATAACAATAATCCTTGCATTTTATATACGTCGTTGAGACGTCTCAAAGCACTTCACAAAATTTACTGTAAAGTGAATTGACTGAATATTTTGTGGGGCAAAATGTCTCAAAATGCTCTGCAGAATGAACTGAAGTAGAAATGAGAGGAAAACACAGTAGCTCAGTCTACCAAGGTTCAGTGCTTTTGTTCAGTGGGATACAAGCGATAGAACCTGTGTAATACACTGAACTCTCTTTCTATCCAAATTGTTTCTTCCACCTAGCAATCCTGGTATCCGTGATCTCCCACCTGAGCTTGGACAGCTAGCTAATCTCTGGCAGCTGGATATCGAGGAGTTAAATATTACTAACGTCTCCGCAGAGGTCAGGAAGGAAGGTAGGTTTATTGATTTGACTTATTTATTCACTGTAATTAAAACACATTTTGGTAACTTCAGTCTATTAACTGTGCAGAAGATAAAACGGCAATCAAAACGTGCGTGATTAATTCCAGGTTTGACACCATTTAGCACAAGACGCTTTCTCTAGTAATTGTTGACATAATACTAAAAACCCTCTTTAGAAAATTAACAACTGGGTTTGACAATTACATAAATGATGCAGATCTTCACTGAACTCAGCAGCTATAATTGTCAACTACTCAGCTGCTTCCTCATTCATCTTTCGTTCTAAATTAGTTAGTTATTATAATAATAATCCTTAAATTAGAAAAAGTGCCTTTAAAGTCAGCAGGACAACTCAAAGCGCTTCGCAGGATATACTGCAAAGTATAGTCACTGTATATTTTGTAGGCGAACGGAGCAACCAATTTGCATACTAACCCACAAACAGCCATGAGATGAATGCCCGACTTTATTTGGGGGATTGTTGGTCAGGATACCAGAACAAATTCCTTCTTATTTCAAAAATAGTGCCACGAGATCTTTAACGTTCTCCTGAACAGGCAGATGGTATCTCAGTTTAACATCTCATCCGACGGATGACACCTCCAATATAGAAGCACACCCCCAGCACTGCATTGGAGTGTCAGGCTAGAGCATCCGAGTTCAAAGTCCCACCGTGGGGCATTGCCCTATTACAAGAATATACACACCCCAAAACTGACACAGCAACAGTTTGTGAATGAAGGAATAATGCTTGTGGTTTGGTGATGTTGTAATATTATAGAACGTACTATTTTTGATGTTCTCTCAGGCCCTGTATCAGTGCTTGGATATCTCAGAGCACAACTGAGGAAAGCTGAGCCGTGCAAGCTGCTGAAGATGATCATTGTCGGTCCTCCTCGACAGGGGAAGTCCACTCTCTTAGAAGTTCTGCATTCAGGAAAGCCCCCTCAAGCCATGTTGAAAGAGAACAGCATCCAGACCACTACCTGGGAGCTCCAGCGCCCGGCTGCTGTCAAAGCCAAGGTGACAACTGTAGTAATAATAATAATAATAATAATAATCTTTGCATTTGATATAGTGCCTTGTCACATCTTCGAGACGTCTCAAAGCTCTTCACAGAGTATACTGTGTAATGAATTGACTATATTTTGTAGGCGAAACGCGGCAGACAATTGCGCACAGCGGCGTCCCACAAGCAGTCCTGGATCGAAGTGGCCAACTGTGGCCATAACCTCCGCACTGATGCTAGCTTTGCTTCAGATGCTTTGCTTCCCCTCCCCCCACCCATCCACCCCTACAGAACTCTCCCAAAATCACCTTCTCCTCGCCCCTTTCCTCTCTGCTTTCAAATCCTTTTCCCCTAACAACCCGCCCCCAACACCCCCATTCCTCCTCCCAGCTCGGGCTCCTCCTCAAACTTTGTAAAGGGCTTTCTTGCAGACGTTCCTCCAAATGTCAAAGGCGCTGTCTTAAGTGTAACTTGTTCGTGACGTGGTTGTAATTGTTTCTATTTGTTATAGGTGGATTCAATTGCGTTTAACGTGTGGGATGTGGGAGGCCCGGTGATAATGTCAACGGTCAATCAGTGTTTCTTCACTGACATGGCTCTGTATGTGGTCGTGTGGAATTTGGCTCTTGGCGAGGAAGCTGTCGCAAACTTACAGTCCTGGTTATTAAATATCGAGGTAGGGATTTGCTGCTGTAATATCCCAGCAAACACAAACATCTAGTAACTGAGGGAAGAAACTTTTAGTTATGTCTCTAGTTATTTCAGTCACACGCATAGAAGTGTTCAGTGTTTGCCCTGGAGCAAGTGTGCATGACATTAATCAACTAACACAGATGTAATAAATTTTACTGCATTATCAAAAGCTTTAATCTGCATCGTTAATGCTGCAGTGCTTTAAGATAACCTGCCAGCTAAAGCACGAGTTTGTTGAACTCTAGCCCGGGAGACTTAACTTCTAACCAATCCCGAGTCACGTTGGTGCTTTGTCTTCCCGTTGAATTATTGAACTCCAATAAATCATCCGTAAAATGGACAGAAATACAGCCAGGGTTAAATGATCCCTTCAGCAAATCTGGCAACTCTGCTGTTTGAACAATCAAAGATGTGAAGTGCCTGTCAGCAACCAACCCATGGGAAAAACCAAGAGGACTAGATTGATGAGGAAAATTGCTGGGGTGCAATATGGGGGTGTGGGTGGGTGGGTGTGTATGTGTGGCCCATTTAATATATCAAAAATCAAGCAATCTCAGCACATGTGGGCTGGTCACGAGGTTAATATTGTTAGAAAGCATAAGTTATGTGAAATCTCATTGGGCCCATCAAGTTCATGTCTACTCTGTTCATTCTGCTGTATCATACACTCTGCTGGTAAATAGGAAAATGAAATCGAGGATAATCAAGAAACATAAATTCAGAAAAAACATTCATTCTATCTTGTTTATTGGTTTACCCCCTTTGTCTACAGCCAGAACACACTCAGACTGTTTTCTCCACCTTCATATCACTGAGTCCACATCCCTCTACTTTGTGTCACCTTTAATTATATTTATTTAAGGTAAAAGATTGACTGGATGATATAATTACTAAAAGGTGGAGTGTTCGGCTCTGTTAATTTGGTTGCAGAATCCACAGAGGTACAGGTACATTTAGACGCAAGACCCAGAACAAGTACCTGAATCAGTGCTGAGCTCGTGACAGAAAGTCCCACTTATTTCACTTCTTTATGTGAGGAAGAAGGACAGTACTTCGCTTCCGTTTAGCATCTCATATGACTGAATAACACGCACATGCAAACACACGGACACACATGGTCTTCATAAGGCAGGGTACACTGTTTATGCTCTTTAATGCCATCAACCCAGCATTGCAAGATAGAAGATCTCTAAAGCTCCTAACGCATCTAACTTTTGTGTAAACATCAGAACTCGTTCTGTTTTTAATGAATATTATTTTCCAATGTGGGAAAAAACGCAAAACAATTATAAAGAAAGTTTTGGTACAGAGATCTCTCTCTTTTTTTTAATCTCTTCCCTCTCAGGCAAAGGCATCAAACGCTACAGTCATTGTGGTTGGAACACATCTGGATTTAATTGATATGAAATTCCGCACAGAGAGAATTGCTACACTTCGAGCCTTTGTCCTAGCCCTGTGTCGTGCCCCGTCGGGAACAAGAGCTACTGGATATCCTGATGTCATTTGCAAGAATTTGCAGTTAGTCAAAAAAAAATTATTTAAATATTCCGAGCATGCATTAAAAATTCCACATTGTGCAATGCGAGCTCTGACCCTCTTTGTGGGTGGAAGCAATAAATCCGTGTCACAGGAATGTGAATCATTTGTGAAGCTGAAAAGTAGCAGCTGTTCCCAAGCACATTCGCAAGTTAACAAATGTAATAAATATCCCATAAGCTGTTACTCCTCCTCTTGTATAAAAGACACGCTTAGTTTCTAACTCGCATGAAAGGTTTCAAGTCAGGTTGGGTGTTTGAAATCCTAAACTACCCAAAATATATGACATTCTTTCATCTTGAGCACCTCCTTTTTAAATAAAACCAGAAGGAAATGCTAAGTGCCTTCTAGCTCCTCAGTGTTAATCAACATAGCAAACATCGATTGCAATTATAATATTGTACAAAGATGTAAGTGTTGATTCTTTTTTGTTGCGATAAACTTGTGTATGTAATCAAATGTCAGTTATGACCATTTTTCTTCCTCTGGATTGGGTGGAAGAACATCAACAGTTAAGATAGCTACTGCTGGTTTCACTTCAACCTCTGACTGCATTGCCTTTGTACTGTTGCTGTAAGTTGTGAACTGTAAATAAGCTCAGCAGAGTGAAAGTGCCTGTGCTGCTGACCCAGATTTGCATCTTAGCCTTCATTGGTATTCGGACTGAATTTTCAACAAATGACAAGTTCCAGCAGTCTTTTCCCTTGCTTCTAAATGTAGTGTTTCATCTTGCGGGGGAAAAGGGAAATCTTTAGTCCCTCAAAGGCAAGTCATGTCATCCAGGAACTGGTGGACATTTCTGACCTCTGTTGAACCCATGCTTCAGATCATTCTGTTTGCCTGGTGCTGTAAATAGGGATGAAAATGAAGCAGATACAATGCATTGACTTTGCCATTCATAGGCCCGAAATCCCACCTCATGTTAACCTGTTAGACCATTTTGTCTTAAACCTGGAGATCGTGCAGAATTGTGGAAAATTCTTAAATCCATCCTTTATTCAGAACTGGTTCTTCCAAATTATGACTGAATTTACAATATTTCCATAGTTCTGTGCAGTCTCAAAGTTTACGACAAAATAGTCTTACCGGCTAAAGGTAGGTGGAATTTCTGGCCTCACGTGGCTAAATATTTGGATCGTAGCTGTAATTGTGCTTTCTTGCTGCTCGGTGCTTTTAGTTCATGGATTTAATCTTGACAATGCTGGCGAATGAGGCTTGTGTTCCCTTTTGTATTTCATCATTACAAAACTGCACTCATTCCATTTCTTTCTCACAGTGAGTTTTCAGGCAAGACCTTGGAGGGTTTGGAAGGACTTCGGAAACTGATCTTTCAAGTGGCATGTAACATGAAGGAAGTTGGGCAGTTGTCTGGGTCCCAGAAGTTGGTTGGTAGACTGGTAAGTGTTTTCTTATTAGTTTCAGAGGTAGAAACTGGGCCAGATGTTAATCTTCCCAAACAGCGAGCTGCTGTTGACCTATTTTTGAAATATATGATCATCATTGAGGCAGATCTTTCCATTTCCTGCCCATGAACTTTCCTACTATAACTCAACATCACTTCAGACAGTTTGATGGTGTCTTTAATCCACTTATTAATGATTCAAAAATAGAAACAAGAAACGGCTACGAACTTGACACACTCAATTTGGTTAGTGGTGGAGACATCAGGATTATCATTTTACCTAATGTTGTGAACCAGTTAGTACAGCAAAATGCACAAGCTGCTTGCAGAAAGTATGTGTGCAGAATGGTGAATGATCATAACGCTAGCACGTGACTGATCGAATGTAAATGCCTTGATGTATTCGTGAACTGATTTATTTTCCATGTCTTGTGCACTAGTAACCGTTACAAGAGAATGCACATAGCTAACTTTACAGTCGTTTCCACAGTTTAGGTTTTATTAACATAACATCTTTTTAACATGAGTGACTTGTATTTGAAACAAGAACAAAAGAAGTAATGTGAAAGATTTCATTGTGGGAAATAGTCTGTACTGCTGACCAAAGACTAAAATCTCTACTCAGTACAACTTCCCCAGTAATCATGATGCCTGAACGTTTAGAAGAGGCTTTGTCAGAGTGATTCTGAACACTGCTGCAATTAAAGGTTCTGAGGCATTTATGACCTTTTTTTTACTCATTATGGGACAAATTAGTTCTTATAGTTTGCCTTCCTTCAGGTGAAACGTTAAATCGAGGTCTCATCTGCCTGGTCAGATGGACATTAAAAGTTAATTACCCCAAACTATTGCAAGAGACAAGGTGTCCTGACCAACAATCACCCCAGATAAAATGGTTATTCACTTCATGCATGTGGGTCATTGCTGTAAGCAAATTGGTTGCCGCGTTCACTTAGAAATACAGTCACTCCACTTTGCAGAAATTCCCTGCGTGAAGCGTTTTGAGAAATTTTGACATTATAAGTGCTGTATCAAGTACAAGGATTATTATTATTAGCATTTTTTCTTTTATTTAGCCTGGTATCCGTTGACATGCACAGAAATCCCTTACTATGCTTTGAATTACCACATGTGTGAACTCTGCTTAGATTTTCTCCTGCTGAGTATCCAGTCTTTGTATTAATTCACACATTCCTTCAATTTAACTGAACCATAATCACTAACAGAAATCTTTAGCCATCAAAGTTACTAATAGTGGTCTGTTGGTGTCAGTGTTCATGTACGTAAAGATTGTTTAGTAAAATGATCTCAGGGGAGAGGACATTTTCTAATGGTTACCAGTAGGTAAATTAAACCTCACTTCCCCAGGATATAATGTGCAGCTGGATACTGATGGTTTAAGGCTATCAAATTTTATCCTGTAAAAGGTGAAACTTTGCTGCTTTTTTAAGCAAATTTACCTAATAATGACATTAATGATATTCTTTCAAAATGTGTCCTTCTAATATACTTTGTTACTTTATAACAAAAAAAACAAAGTTAGGGATATTTACGTTGGATTTAGACTCATTTTTGCTGGTCATATTTTGTGTTCTTGTTACTGAAAGTTTTCGATGTTTTATTGAGGGAGAAATTAAACCCGGGTCTACTCTTACTCTTTTTTTGACATAACTCATACTTTGCATAAGTATTATTAAATGCATGGGCCCAACTGATATGACCTATGTGAAGTTTACTGTACCTAAACTCAGTAAATCTAGACCAAGGTGCAATTTCTCCCCATGTATTTAACATCTTTTCAACATATTAGATACCACGAAGTCACTTAAGTTTACTGGATGCCGTCATAAAGGAGCGAAAGAGAAGAAGTGCTAGCAATGAGGTGCTGTATCTAACTGACCAGCAACTTGAGGCAATCATGGAGCAAATGCCAGACAACGATATCGAAGACTTTCAGGACCTACAAAGTGGTAGGCATCATTAACTCATTAATAAAATAGTGCACGTGTTCAGTTCTGCATTTCCTTTCAGATAATTATTTTTAAGATGAACGTTCAAGCGCACTTAAGATTTTCTTTAATTAAAAAAAATTGCCAAAAAATTCTCGAATCAATTCCAAAATGAAATCCCCAAATTTTGGGATGACAAATAATTTATGTGATGTGTGGTTTTGTCTTCAAAGCAAAGTTATTAAAACGACATTTTAAACCGGGGCTTGCCCTTCAAAAGTTTGAAACAAACGTTGGCATTTAGGATATTAATTGAAAATGTGGTTAATGTCAAGTTCTTCTTTGTTTGGCAGCTATTAGTTTCCTTATACAAACAGGGGCACTGCTCCATTTCCCAGACACCAGCCACGGACTGAGAAATCTTTATTTCCTGGACCCAGTGTGGTTATCGGAATGCCTGGAGAGAATTATCAACATTAAAGCCTCTCGCTCGGTTGCTAAAAATGGAGTGATACAAACGAAGGACCTGAGGATGCTTTTAGTTGGAACCGGATTCACAGAACAGACGGAAGAGCAGTATTTTCAGTTTTTAGCTAAATTTGAGATTGCACTTCCAGTTGCTAATAACAGGTGAGGTGACTGATGTCACATTAAAAAAAATGCGAGACTGTTTTTTACTTTTGCTCCCCCATCCCGTTTCTTTCTCTTGCCCCCATCCATCGCCAGCCAGACACACACACACTATTTCTGCTGCTGTACGTGAACACTGTGACACCCAATACTATCTCACTTCATCTGTGAGGCTATAAAGAGGTTCTGACAGCTACTCCTACGGTCAGGAAGGAATGACTTGCTGTGAGCTGCCCGACTCAGAACTGACAAAACTCACACAACAAAACTAAGCTTTGAACTCTGATCCCATTTGAGAGTTTAACAATCTGTAAGAACTATCAGGCCATCTGTATTACTGTATTTTCCTGGAGATGTATTCATTATCTGATGAACTAGAGAAAACTTATTAAAGGCTGGTGAATCCTAACTCAAACATGCACGGGTATCTGGTTTGCGTCCACTATTATCTAGGAATGGAGAGCGAATGAGCAAGATAATTAGTCATTAAGTGATTTTGATGTGTCAAGAAGAGACTTTATAGGTAACTGAGGAGCTTTTTTCAAGTGAAAGGAACTTTCAAGCGAAGCATAGTCTGCACTTCATGAAGATGTTTTAGCATAGCCTAAAATACAGCAGCCAAATTCACTTAAACCAGCTTTGGAAAGGGGAAGGGAAACTGCTTTCATTGATCAATAAGAATCAGCCGAGGCCTGTTGACGATCAGGAGGAGATGGCAGAGTTTAGGGTGAAGGGGCAGGCAGAGCAGCTCAAAAAAGATTATTCAAAAAAACCTGAACAAAAATATCAAGAGAGGTTTGGATAACAAGACCAGGCAAGCAGATTGGCAGGTTGAGAGGCAAAATAATCCATAATTCAATGCATAAATGCCAGAAATATTTGCAATGAAATGGTAGGCAGCTGATAATGGTGAAAATATTATTGAGTAGTACTAACCATCGGGACTGTGATTTCTTTTCCAGTTACCTTCTGCCTCATCTTCTCCCATCAAAACCAGGTTTGGACATTAACAACCTACGGCATAAGTTTACAAACACCATTCAGAGGCTTTTCAAAATGACGTTTGTGCCTGTTGGTTTCTGGCAACGGTTTATTGCACGGATATTAATTAGTCTAGCACAGATGGATGTCCAGGTACAAATATTCATTAGCTTGGGATCTTATCACGATAAGACTAGTTGTTCAGATGAAGGTGGCCCTTTGGCCTTTTTGATCTCATTCTTCCACAATACCCACTCTACCATCTTCCCATCACAGCATCAAGCTGTTTCTTAAATTAGTCCAGTGTCCTGATATTCCCATTCTAGTGATTAAATACTCTGTGTGTAACTCTGTGTGTCTACTGCTTTTGCGTATCTGCAAGTATTGTTGTGGAAGAGGAGTAGACAGTTGCAGATAAGGCAAGTGAAAAGTATTTAAACTTATTCTTTGCAGCTGAAGCTCAAATCAGCAGATGGGAGCAGGGGGTGAAGCAGAACGTTGCATTGAATCGACCTGTGACTGCGTTCCACTTGTACTATTCTTCAACAGCTCTTTGAGAACGAAAAAAATTCCAAGCCGACTAGAAACAACAGGGCGTCGCTTTACAGCTTCACCGGATCCCAGCGTCGCAATCGCTGCAGCACCTTCCGAGTGAGGAGAACGCAAACCATTTATTGGCAAGAAGGACTGCAAATTAACTACGATGGCGGCTACCTGAGGTATTTCACACCCTTTCATAATTAAAACCTTTCAGTAGCAACGGAGGTGCAATTTTGGTCATTTTGGACCATATTCTGTTCAGCCTTTGGGACTGAACCGAACATACCATTTCTTTCTTGCACAGCGTTCAGTCGTCGGAGGTTAACTGGAAAAAGACAAAAAGCGGAGGAATAAAGATCATATGCCAGTCGGAATCAAGAGACTTTTCAGCTGTGGCATTCCTCACCGACCACGTCAATTCCCTGTTTGATCAATGGTTTCCAGGTAAGAAGGAAACTTGTTTTGTGTAACAAAGACCTAGCACAAATGTCAACTATCAATCAATTTTGAAGCAAGCGCTCCTAAATATAATAATGATATCAATATAGTCATCTTTGCATTTGATATAACACCTTGCACAGTGTTTAATCCCTCGAAAGCACTTCTCAGGATTTTACTGGTAAGTGTGGTGACTGTATATTTGTAGGTGAATCTGGGTTGTAAGTTGTGTTTCTCTGATGCGTAGGAGGCGGTTGCTTAAGTACATCTATTGGTTTTGTCTTTGAGTGTGACCCTAATACTGGGTCTACATTCAAAACAGGTTCATTGTAATCCAGGCATCGTTTTCACCCATTAAATACAGACTTGCATTTACAGCTCTTACGGCCACAGAAACTGATGGGACGTTGTTGGTAGAACAGTACATGCCTTGTCCGTCTTGCACTCCTACAACTGAGGGAGAAACACACACCCAATTAAGGCCAGATGGCTTGAACTACTTTAAAATGGAGGACTGTGTGCTAACTGCCATAGCGAAGACCCATATTGAATGTCCTAACCACCCTTCTACTCCAGTATCTTTGGAAGAGTTGGTTCCAGAACTTTTCATGACTGATTTTCCATCTCGGTAAGAACAATGTTGATTGCTGTGGAGATGAAATAAACACTGTGGTAATAAATTACAATGACGTTTACATTTCAATTTAATTTTTAACAAGCATTTTTCTTTAATCTCATCTCACCAGTCTTTACCTTTTGTTTATGCAATTGTATTTTTACCTGAAAATGTCACCTACTTAATTAGTGCAATTCTAAGGTGCAGGAGAACTGCTTTGTGCTGTGAAAATAGATAGGATTTTCATAAATAGATTTTATTGTGTTCACTCACAGGTTATTTTTGGAAATTAGTAAATTAGAATACAGTGAAATGGAAAAACATGTACTCGGTCAAGGGGGTAGTGGAACCATAATATACAAAGCGATGTACAAGGGAATACCTATAGCAGTCAAGAGATTTCATTTCAAGAGATGTCGACGACAAATTGCTGATTTGAACACAGGTAAGATCAATCAACTCTCTGAGCGATATACTACTACTTCAAAGAAGATTAAGATAGTATAGTGAGTTGCCTTTTAACATTGTAAGACCATTGGTATTAACTTCTATGTCAGGTGTTAACTTTTGTGTTCCTAGATTTTATTTAATAAGCATAATAATAATAATAACAACAAGCCTTGCATTTTGTGTAGTGCCTTTCACTTCAGTAGGGCATCTCAAAGCACTTTGTAGGATTTTGCTTGAAGTGAATGTGTATTCCATTGCACATTTAAGTATTTTCAAAAACAAAATATCTGCAACATGGAATGAATGTAAAATGCTTTTTATTTGCTTTCCATTTTACCAGACTAAATATTAATAATTGTCAACAGACTCTTTCAATATTCAAAGAATTTATGTATGAATTACATGATCTTGCGGCTGATTATACTCTGGTCAAGATTAGAGATATTATTCTGATCTGATAATAAACCTATTATGTTTCCAGATGTAATTTATTTTTTTTAAAATGAGCATTCCCAAAACTCCTTAGAGTTGTATCCTGCCAATTAAACTCTATAATTTCCTGGTTCCTATTCAAACTGCAATCAAAGTCCAGGGAAATTAGTGCCAATCTTCTTATAGAGATTGCATTTATGTTCAAATTGGTATGTAATTTTAGGATTTAATTCAAAGAGGTGAACCCATGTATTTACAGCTGCCACTAATGTTTAAACGTACACTAGGGGAGATCCTCAGGCTTTACATTAAAACACCATTTTAAAGTTTTTAGCGCCTGCATTTTGCTAAATAAACAAAAATTGTAGCTATTTCTCTCTCATGGGAATTGCAATGACAGAATGATGACTGAGAAAAGTGTCTGCTGTTGTATTGTTCATTTCAGATTCGATGTTTAGGCATATAGAAGCAATGGAGGCCTTGAGAAATTTTTCAGAGTTCCGCCAGGAAGCCAGCATGCTTCATTCCTTGCAACACCCATGTATAGTCTCCTTGATTGGCATCAGCATCCACCCACTCTGTTTTGCATTAGAGTTGGCTCCTTTGGGTAGTCTCAATACAGTGTTGGCTGAATACTCTAAAGGTAACAGTTTCGTTTAAACAAAACAAAGGCTTAATATACATTGAACCATACGGAGGAGATGCTGGATTTCCTTGAATGCAAAATCAAGGGAATTCGCTCCGCGGTCACTTCCCCTCCAACATCCACCCACCCACCCCCCACCCCCTCCCTCCCACACTCCGACTCCTACCCATCCTCCCCTGCACACTTTCGTACCCGTTTCCCCACCCTCTGTCGCCAAACTCATCCTATCCCTGAAACCCACCACCTGCTCCCTTGACCCCATCCCCACTCCACTCCTTATCTCCCAGCTCCACCTCCTTGCCCCACATATCACAGACATTGTCAACCTGTCCCTCTCCTCTGGCTCTGTTCCCATTCCCTTAAAAACTGCCACCATCACTCCCACCTTGAAAAAACTCTCCCTTGAAGCGTCGCAGCTATCAAGCTACCGGCCCATCTCCAACCTCCCCTTCCAAGGTCCTGGAACGAGTTGTCGCCTCCCAGCTGCGCTCTTTCCTCTCCACCCATTCATTATTCGAACCCCTTCAGTCGGGTTTCCGTGCTGCCCAAAGCACAGAAACTGCTCTGGTCAAGGTCACCAATGACATCCTGACCATCTGTGACGAGGGCTCCCTCTGCCTCCTCGTCCTCCTCGACCTAAAGGCAGCATTCGATACGGTCGACCATGCTATCCTCCTCCACCGCTTGTCCTCCCACCTCAACCTTCAAGGCCCTGTCCTTGAGTGGTTTAGGTCGTACCTCTCCCACCGTCTTCACTTTGTTTCCACGAATGGCTTTTCCTCCAGCCCCCGTGCAGCGTCCCTCAGGGCTCTGTCCTCGGTCCCCTCCTCTTCACCCTCTATATGCTCCCCCTTGGTGACATCATCCGCAGACATGGGGTTAACTTCCACATGTATGCGGATGACACCCAACTCTACCTTTCCTCCTCTACCCTCAACTCCACGACCACCGATGTCCTGACAGCCTGCCTGTCCGACATCGAGTCCTGGACGAGAGACAACTTTCTTCAGCTCAACGTGCGTAAAACTGAGGCCCTCCTGATTGGCTCACGTCAGCGCCTCCGCACCTCAGGTGCTAACAGCATCAGCATCCAAGGTTGCACTCTCCACCTCTCAAAGCCAGTCAGGAACCTCGGTGTTCTGTTCGACCCTGAGCTGTCCTTTCTTCCTCATATCTGCGCCACAACTGGCACCGCCTTCCATCACCTCCGGAATATCGCCAGACTACGGCACTACCTCACGCTGCTGAAACTCTGGTCCACGCCTTTATCACCTCAAGGCTGGACTATGGGAACTCTCTCCTCGCCGGCCTTCCCGGCACCTCCCTCCACAAGCTGCAGGTCATTCAGGACTCTGCAGCTCATGTACTGTCCCGCACCAGGCTTCACGACCACATCACTCCCACCCTCGCTCGCCTCCACTGGCTCCCCATCCCCCAGAGGATCGAATTCAAGATCCTCATCCTCACCTACAAGGGTATTCACGGCCTTGCTCCCTCCTACCTCTCTGACCTACTATCCCCCTACCTACCTGCCCGTACCCTCCGTTCCTCTGGCTCCGGTCTGCTCCACATCCCCCGCCCCAACCGCCCTACCATTGGTGGCCGGTCCTTCAGCCTCTCAGCCCCTAGGCTCTGGAACTCTATCCCCCAGTGCCTTCGCCGCCTCCTCCCTTTCCTCCTTCAAGGCCGGTCTCAAGACCTTTCTCTTTGACCGTGCCTTCAGCTCCCCTCTCGACTCTCTACCCCCTCCTCGCTCCCTCCCTTCTCTCCTCTCACCCTGACCATTTCCCCTCTGCTCGGGTCCTGACCCAACTTGGGATGTCCTCCCGACGTGAAAGGCGCTCTATAAATGGAATCTTGTTGTTGTTGTTATGTTATTGATCACATTCATGATTGAAATTGAGTAAAATACCAATTAAGTTTTGATTAAAAAGTAACAAATTATACAACAATGTAAAAAGAAACCTTTCACATCAGGAGGATATGTCATAGCGCTTCACACGATTATACAGCAAAGGGCAGTGACTGCATTTGGTAGGCGAATGTAAAAATAATAGAATTTTTTGGCACTGTTATCTAATTTAGTGTCTTAATTTGAAAACACTAAATAAAATAAAATGACTGATCTCTTTCACACAGGAATGTCCTTTATGCCGCTTGGTCATATGTTGACTTACAGAATAGCCTATCAGATTGCAGTTGGATTGTCTTATCTGCACAGAAAGCACATCATATTCTGTGACCTGAAGTCGGATAATATTTTAGTTTGGACTCTAAATGCGAGTGATACAGTGAATGTGAAATTGTCAGACTACGGGATCTCTCGCCAGTCATTCCACGAGGGAGCACTTGGTGTAGAGGGGACTCCTGGCTATCAGGCACCAGAAATCATGCCTGGGATTGTTTACGATGAAAAGGTATAAAACAGAGCGTAAAAAGAAAATGTGGTTTCTGAAGAAATTTTTTCTAACAGACTCAATTTGAAATGCCTCTTGTTTTTTTTTCAGGTTGACATGTTTTCTTATGGAATGGTCTTATATGAGTTGCTATCAGGTCATCGACCTGTCCTTGGTCACCATCAGATTCAGATAGCTAAGAAACTGGCCAAAGGATTGCGTCCTTCACTAGGTCTCTTAGAGGAAGTGCAGTTCCACAGCTTGCAAACTCTCATGACTGAATGCTGGGACACAAAGCCCGAAAAGGTAAAGTAGATTAATACTTGTGTAGGAAATACGCTATGAATTTAATAGATTAAGTGATCTGGTTTATTTAGCAACATCCGAGTAGATAGGCTCCTGATTATCATATCCCAAAAAAAGTGTGTGAAACAATATCATAACTGCCTTTGTTAACTAAGATGCAAAAGGAGCAATGCAGGATTATAGATTATAATTCTAAGATGACCTGTCTATGTGAAGGAATTTTTTCTAATTGGGCGCATGCATGAAGATATTAATAGTATTTATTTAAATAAACTTTTTTGTAGTCTTCACTCATTTTTATACTTGTGTTCACATCTTATTCCCATTTAGCGCCCAGCAGCCAACTCTATTGTCAGAATGATGCAGGATCCTAGTTTTCCAGTGTTGATGTACACACTAAGCTGTGGGAGACAAAACCTGTTTTACTCTTCTCAAGAACAGGAGCAGACCATCATTTTCTGGGATGGGGAAGGAGAGGAGAGGTACGAAATTATGATCTGACAGGGTGACAGGCTTCCAAATTTAGGTTTGATTAAAATTCAGTATGAAAGGAAACTATGGATATTGCCCACATTTAGCGTTCTGATTGATTGAATTTGGATCTAAAGACTTGTGTAGTCAGTGAGGTGCAAAGTTCTGCTTTCTAAGCACAGATGGGGGAGTTTAAAGACAACTGAAACATTTAAGGAGCGATGCTCACACATGAAAAGTAATGAGATCAGGTCCTGACTGTGGAGCTTCCCCAACACAGGAAAGCAGAAACATATACCCTTAACCAAAATTACTTGCAATTGTTTTTTTTTGCTTTCTCACTGTTCACTTCTGAATCAAATATTAGGTCATGTGGCAAATTTCTTTAGAGTGGGGCAATATGTATGCATAATGCCACACTTTAAATAAGCAAATAGTCCTAAACTAATAGACCATGACAGCAATATCTGTACATGACCGGGATGCAGTACATTTAAGAAATTCTTATATCCATTGCACACGTACAAATTATATGTTTATTTGCCAACTCTAGGAATTACAGTGTGGTGAATATAGAGAAAGGACTAATTGAAGTGGACCGCATCAGCTGTCCTGGAATAAGGCTGAGCTGTCAATTGAAACTACAGACTGCATTGTGGATAGCGACGGAGGTGAGTAGATGGCGTTCTTGTAGTATTGTTGTTCCCTGCTTAACATTGTTAACATTGAATTCAGGATTCTGTTTGATATGGAAACAGCACCACTAAATAGCACTTACATTCTGATTCCAGCACTGGCTGGTACTATTTAGAGACAGGCCAAACTTGAGGCTTATTTTGATCGTCCAGTTAGTGGCGGTGCATTAAAGTGGGGTGGAGATGTGGAGAAGTACAGATGTGGCAGATTCAGATGTGAAACACATTGACACATTGAGTGCTCTGTAATGAAAAGAGTTAGGTTTGAGGTTTGATTTCTCCCCCACTCTACTCTGTTCCTGATTTCAGGCCTTGCGGCGGTAGGAAGGGAAGAGGGTAAGTTGTGACTAGGCTCCTATTGAATGTCCCTAAGTAGGCTATTTAACAGCAGCAGAGACAAAGGCCATCCCCTCCACCTTGTATGATTTTTATATTCATTCCTTTAAAATGCCGTTTGCCAATTACCAACTCACCCTGCTGAATTTCTTTAGATCTGTCTAATTAAAAGCTGTCTTTGCCTTGTGCTTTTTGCATGTAACAAAACATGTTCCCAACTAATTCTGTTTCCAATTCACACATGAAATTCATTGATGTCCATTGGGAAAAAAAGTAGAAATCCAAAGATTGATCCTCAATGAAGAACGTAAGCTTCTTTGCAGATTGACAATGCCATTGATAACTGTTTGTTTGTTTCGATTTCCTATGTCAGGTAAGGATGAAATCGAATGGGTAGATGGGCCTTCTTCAACCAAAGCTCTCGTGATCTAGCTATTTTTGTTCCAATTTTCTGCCTCTTAAGTCTCCTATTTAACTTTGTGCTGTTTCTATCAGGACCAGAAGATTCATGTATACAGCCTCAAAGGAATGTGTCCCTTGAATAAGTTTCTGAAAGTGCTGGATGTTCCTGCTATTGTTACCTGTTTCTTGATGGTGTCAAGTGGAAACCAGGTAAGACCACTCTAGCTTTAGGTACACGTTTTATGATCATACCGATCTAGCTACGGCTACAAACAATGCAAACTAGTACAACGTTAATATGATGACACTAAATAATAACTTCACTATTGTCTTTATGGAGTTGTTAACTTAATGTGCGGTCAGTCTTGCCCTATAACAGTCAAACCCTTCACATTGTGTTCAGTTAAACAGGTCATTCAGCCCAAATAGTCCATGCCAGTGTTTGTATTCCACATAAGTATCCACTGCTCCTAATCTGCTCTACCTATTCCCTTTTCCCTCAAGCATTCATCAAGTTTCCTGTTAAGTACGTTGATGCTTTTTGCTTCAACCACAGTTTCCGGCAGTGATTTCCACCACCACTTTCAAATGAGTTCCTCCTATTAGACCTTCTTAGATCTGCTGCTGATTATTTTCTGTTATAAACTGTTGCTGCAATATTCTGTGACTTGGAATCAGCCCAAGCTAACCTTAGCACCATAACGTTTAATGCAGATTAACAGTTGCTCTTCCACAAATTGCAAAACATTTTCTCCTCTTTTCCTTATCCCACCTATTTTGTGACACATTGTTCGTCCAGCAAATACACAACCATTCCACTTTACAGTATAGCACTTTGGGACATCCTCCAAATGTGAAAGCCATTGTATGAAATGCTAGGATTATTATCAGTCGTATTTATTTTACAGCATTATGCCGGGGAATGGGCAGATCCGAAAATATACGTTTATTCAGCTCTCTGCAGTATTTAATTCCTTTAATCTTTGATAGTTACAGTCAATACCCGAGCAACTTGGTGAAGACTAAGCCAGAGGCACTGCCTTCCCCACCCTTCCCCATTGCAACTGGTTGTGTAGCATAAGCAATGTTCCCCAGCAGTGACATCCCTCACCTTCAACAAAAATTAATTGCTAATGCTTAATGCAAACTTTCAACGTGTTTCAAGAATTAAGATCCTAGGAAGATGAGAAAGCCATTTAGCCCATCGAACGCGTTCATTAAATCATGGTAGACTTTTAAATCTGATTTATGCACATTTCGTAATACCCTTACTCCTCAGTATCTACCTGTCTACCCTTTAAACATATTAATAAATTCTGCTTGTTCAGCCTTCTGGATGCATTAACGCATTAATATTGATTTCAATTTACTTAAACTGCGGTGATTACAGAAAATATTTGAACCTTTTGGTCTCTCGTCAACAGAACTCTCCTTTAGTGTTTGCTGGCATGGCTGATGGAATGGTTGCAATTTATTCATTGGCCAGTGATATCCCGAAGGACGGCTGCACTTACATATGTTCACGTTCGGCAAACAAGTTCCGATTTAAAATCACTGATGATGATCCTAAACAGAACGTGTACCAGGTGACTGACATGATAGCAGTGAACAATGGTTCTGAGGTGTGGTATAGTAATGGACCAGCAATCCTGATTGTGGACAGATTAACTGCAGAAATAGTCAGGAGACTGGAAACTTATCAGGCTCCTTCACAGATCACATCAATGGTGTCCAACCTGGGATGTAATGGAGAAGAGGCTATCTGGTGTCTGGATGATAAGACAAATTGTTTGGTTATGTACCATGCTCCTACTTATCAAATCTGTGCCCATTATTTTTGTAATGACTGCAATCCACTAAGAGACATGTTTACAATCCAGCAGCCCATTAATGCAGTGCCTGCCATTCACAAGGAGGTGAATGAATATGATACCCCTGCTGATGTCAGCATTATCATCAGCAAGGAAGTTGGGACACAGATAATAAGACATTCGGACTCGGTTACAGACTACTGCTCCATGTCCTCCTGCTCCTCCATGAGCAACAGAAATACCAGATCATCCTTCAGTGGTCTGAGTTCTCCAACTAGTCCCACAAGTATTCCTTTTTCCACTGACTGTGAAGAATCAGACAAGTCGAACACTTCCCCTGACCAGCCTGAGAACAATGTTTCTCCAACAGCTAGAAAAGACCTAGAGCATTTACAGGCTGTGACGGTGCTTGCAGTAAATGACACTATCTGGATCCCAAGGTAGGTGCTTTATCAGCTTCAATCCAGTTTGTATCAGCTCCGAACCTAGTAAAAATACAGGTGCAATGTTCTACAAATGGATATTATAAATATTAATGCATCTGCCACGGTTGTGACTGCATTCAGTTTGCCTTTCCTCCAAATTTGATATCATCATCCAGCTGAGAATAAGTTCCCCTTCATGCCTTCCCCTTAATACAGATGGAAAACAATAGAGGTCCCAGTACAGACTCTTCCAGGGCACACCAATTAACTACCAATCTGAGAAGCATCCATTTACTCCTCCTCTCCAACTTCTATCTTTCACCAGTTTACCCCATCTATACCAGCAATATATGTTTAATATCATGACCCCAAAGTTTTACCTAGTCTTCATTAGTCTATCCCATTTTGTCTTACAATTTGAGATTGTCCTGAATTGTAGAGTATTTTCCATTCAGTTTTAATTTGGAAGTCAGTTCTTTTTAAGAATTGTGAAAATTATCAGCTTCCAAAATATTATGGTTAATAACAATATAACAACTGCATTTAAGAGTTTTTATGATCTTAGCTTTTAAGACAAAAACATCGTACAAGCTAAAAACAGGTAGAATTTCAGGCTTCGTGAGCCTTCATTTTCTCAATCAGTCTGGAAGAATGAGATCAAATGGACGGATGGGCCTTGTTTATCTAAACCTCTCTTGTGATTCTGAACTCCATGTGGTCAGATTTATCAGGAACTTGCCAATAACTTTAATGTAGCATGTATGTCTTATCTGGGCTGCACCAGATTGCTCTACTCACTCGCTCTTGCAGATCTCATTAAACCACCTTATCTCCTTAAATAAACATTTGGTGGAGCTTTTGTCATTAAAGTCAATGCGTCCAATTTAGAAGATTTAGCACCTTGGGACTTACTTTATATCAGTCAGGAATTCTATCTGACCTCAATCTGTTTCCTACTGAAGTGCACAGTTCTTCGTTCCAGGTGACTAAAGTACAAAATGTTAAGGCCGTGCTAAGGATCCCATCAGCTCCATAATCAGTTCATCAATCGTGTGATATGTGTTAATTTTGCCCTATACTTTATTGAGCTCCCTCATCTGTGTGGCAGAACTTATTGTGGGGAATGATCTTGTGAGTGGAAGTGAACGATCAATGTACACGGATAAATATACTGTATTATTGGAGGAAAGGAAGACAGAGTGCTTGAGAGGAAGGTTCAAAGGAACATTAACCACAGAAGTATTATCAATACAGAGGAAGATGAAAAAATTGATAATAAATTGAATGCTTCGTACATTTGATTGAAATCATGTTAAATGCAATGATTGAATGTGGCTGTCCAGAGTGTAATTCTGACAACACAACAACAGTCTTGTAATGTAATGTTAGCAATGATTTGGATGTTTGATATCCAACACCTCCAAAATCAACATGCAGACTAAAGAATAAGTTAGGTTTTCAGCTTGGCACCTTTTTCTTTTGCATAGAAACTACAAAGGTGGAACTGCCCAACTCCTTAATTAAAAAAAATAAGATTCTCTTATTCAATATTGAAATGGGTATTAATTTAGAGCCTACTTCATGCAAGGCATTGTTTCTTTTAATTATATTTTAAGGGCCAATGGGAATTATGCGCTTTGGCATTAATGTTCATTTTGAGTTTACCCAAGGGAAAATTTACATTCAATTTTACTGAACCCCTAAATACTTTTTACTACGTTAGTCACAATTAATGTGTATTGAATGAAGATGTTTGTAACTTTTAAAGCACCTCATGTGAAAGTGACCTTGAGGAGTTCCTGTGAACAAACAGGTATTGAACAAATAGGCAGTTAAAATGTACAGCGTGTCTAACTCTGTATCAGATAGTGGGGTTAAGCATCTGACTGGAAACAGACTGAGAAAGGAGCAGTCTAGATGACTTTTATTTGTAATGGTGATAAGCAAAGATAGACAATACTGATAGGTGCTACAGTCCTGGAAAATATATTACAAAATATCCACCGGCGATAAATCTAATTTTCGCACCCAATTGATTATAGGGTAAAAAGGGCAACAGAGTCAATGTGACCTGTTATAAAACGTCACATTTTTCACCAGGACATTTATATTTACAATGCAGAGATGGTCCAGACAAGGCAAGAGGCAGCTAAAGCAAGCATTTAATACTAAGGAGCTCCTAGATGCAGAATAATGTTATTTTTGCCAAGGAGAGCAGATCAGCATGTTTAGAAAACAAAGAGTTAGTATAAGCTTTACTGAGGGATTTTAAAAGAGGAAACAACACAAAACGTTTTGTATCTTAGCTTTGGAATATGAATTTCATTTAAGGAAATGATCTGGGAACCTTCAGTCAATCATGAGTAATGGCACTGAAATGCTTTCTGTGCCCCACCTCTGCTAATGGGTAAAATACACTTTACATAGCACCTTACGCATTGGGAGAAAGTCAAAGCACTTTTCACAGGTGACGGGACATCCGAACTGGTGAGGTGGCAGCCGAAAAGGGTTGGTGGGCAGGGGGTACATATTTATTCTTTCTTTTTCCAATATGTATTATTCTGAATTTGTCTGCATTTAAACTGACTTGTGGTTTGGAACCGCCACAAATAATCCAAAGCGAGTATTTACGCAGCACTTCCATTTTCATATGTTCAAAATTTAGAGGAAATTCTAGTTGTGGGATTATATCACTTCCCTTACAAAGAGAGAGGATTACAACAACAACAAGATTCCATTTATAGAGCGCCTTTCACGTCGTGAGGACGTCCCAAGGCGCTGTACAGTTGGGTCAGGACCCGAGCAGGGGGGAAATGGTCAGGATGAGGGAAGGGAGGGAGGGAATATAAAGTAACGCTTCTGCTCAAAGAGGGATTCAAAGACTGAGCCCGGATTAAGGCTCGAGGCTTTAAATGAGCCTCTAGATGATACTTCCTGACACAATGGGCTGAATGGCCTCTTCCTCTCTGTACATTTCTGTGGTTCTAGTCTCCAAGAACTTTAGTGGGTCTTTATTTGCTTGTTTTCTGTTTTCTCTGGACTTGACAACTGCATTTTTATACACTGTATGATGTCTGATCATTGTCATGTCTAATGGTCTGCATTAAAGCCTGTTTATCAGTCATTTGTTTTTTTCTCTAGACGATGCGGTGATATAATTGTTATCGAATTGGAAAATCAGTCTGGATCCCAACGAGGCAAAGTGATAGCCGTGTTGAAGGCTGAACTTTTGACTAAACATGGGTAAGTGGGTGAAAAAGAAATGGGAAGCCTCTTGGTGATCCTCAACGCACGTTACAGAAAATAGTTGGTTTTCTAAATGCCTTTCATTGCCTTTCAGTGTATCATTACATTATGGGATGGGATGTTGTCTACTTTATTAAGAGCAGTTATTACTGATGTTTAATCCTGGGTGAGAGATATAGTACTTAGTAAGCTTTAATAAATTGATTAGGGTTTAAACGATATCCAGGAAACTGTTTAAAAAGGATCATGGTTTTAACCATTTCAAGCCATTTGTTTCTTGAGCCATTTGCTGCAGGATCTGATTTTATTTTTACAAGCATTGTAATATTGTAATGAACCAAATGCTTCAGAACAAGAAACAACTTGCCTGTATAGGGCATATGCTGAAACATCTCGAAGTGCTTTACAACAATCACTCTCAAGTCCAATTTTGGAGGAAACTATAGCAGCCATTTTTCACAAAGTGAAGTTCCACATACAGCAAAGAGGTGAATGACCATTGCAACATTCCCCCAGTACTGCTACCAACTGAGCCAGACTGACATAGTTTATTTTTTTCTCTTTTCTCTGCAAAACCAGACAATATTTTTTTTCTGGTGTGGAACTTGGTAGCAATGTTCTCTAAACAAAGCCAAACTATTTCCATTAGTTTACTATCTGGGCTGCAAAGTCAAGACGCAGTCCAGTAAAATCTCACACGAGGTTAAAGTAAAACCGAACCATTTTGTATTGGAAGATGGAAGTGCATTGTAAGTCTGATAATCACAGGTCCACAAGACACCACATTATCAATAGACTTGTGCTCCAATGAGGAATCTAATCATAGCTTCTTGAGCTGAACAAGTAAAGACTTAGGAATAATGTGAAATATTTGACAGATCTACTGATACTTGTTTTGTTTTTCACTGGAAAATATCGGTACAGGCTTTACGACACACTCACAAAATAACTTTGTCCATTCCCTCCCCCTTCCCCAGTACACTAGTAGAAGCTGCTGTTTTGGGTAAGGATACCGTAGTGTGTTGCTCTCGAAATGAAAACAGAGAGTGGTGCCTGGCTGTCTGGAGAGGCTGGGGATCCAAAGAATTAGAACTCTTCTATCAATCCTACGAAGTACTTGGAAGACTTGAAATAAATATGCGTAAGCGAAGGTAGTCTAACCAGCATCCCAATAAAACTACTGTGGGCAAAAAGATCATAAGGCATGAAGAGAAGCTACTTCAGTCAACAGCGAAGTAGAAAATACTTCAATCGACAGCACATTCATTGTAAAAAGGCAATGTCTTGCAGACACTTTGAAAAATCTATATTCCAACTATCAGGCTGCTAAAGATAAAGCAAATCAAGCATACTGCAGTAAATGAAAAAAAAATTCAGAAAAACACAGATTAAGTGTTTTTTCCAAGAAGGCTTTCACTCAAAACGGAACTTTTGTTGCGGTCTTGGCCAGTGGAAATAATGGACACGGTTAATCTGCTGCTTGACATCTGAAGAGTATTCCTTAATTCAGTTGCTGGAAATAAGAAATAATCCACATGTTAAACCTTGTTTTTGGCATCCAGTCTTGCTGAATATGCAGATGTTCATTTTCTACAGTTACCCAACAGTACACTTTCCATCTAAGTGGACAAATGTGTTTTCAATTCAGATTGTGGAAACTGTTTGCATTAAAAATGTGTCTTCTTAAAAACATTTACTGTGCCATCCACCGATCTGGATGAAACGGGATGCTGTATTTATTGTGCAATAAATGTTGTGGCTAAGAGAAATGAATTCTGCCTTTGTGAGTACAAGTACTTAGTGTAACGGTGTGAAGGATTAAATTCCAGGGGACAGAAATCTTAAGAGATACGGACACAGCCGAGAATTTGTTTATAAATTTTTTTCTTGACACTGATTTGCGCAAATGATAACTTCAGTTCAGAATTTTTGTTAAATGGCAACGATTGTGTTACCCTTTGCTGCGAGCCAAGCGCATGAGCAACTTGTACAGCCAAGCAATCCAGGGAAATATTCAGTTCCAGGGTAATTAGCATCTCTGTTAAACATACCCACCTCTTCCACTCCCCCCCCACCCCAAAAAAAAGCAGCTCATGTGACACATTCCCCTGCAGAATTCACCTTCATTTTTAGGTCATCCCTGCAAAAGCTTTGAGACATCTCAACGACACAGGGATTATTATTTTTCTTCAGATCATTGCATTAATTACATGCGACATATGATTAATTGCCTTAACGATTTGAACAAATGAGAGGAGGAGGGAGTTGCAATCATTCATATACCGAAATGGATGGGAGTGAGCTGAAAGATCGCTGACTCAATCGCTTTTTTTTAAATACTTATCAGTATGATTGATACAATCAAGTACAAGGTTACCCTATTCCATCTGCTTGAACCAGTTCAAAAAGTTTGATCCTCATAGATTCAGTTCGAAGAAAGTTTTTTTTATATATCACACAAGACAGTGGAGGTCAACCTTTATGGTCAGCCAACGAAATACATTTTCTTGTTTAAATATCTCCTGATTTATGCCATAAAATCAAGAAATATTCTATCAAGAAAAAACTGAGAACACACTAACGATTGAACATGGACTTACCTAGACTTGTGCGAATATTCGGGGGGGGGGGAGTGGGGAGGGGGAATGCTTCTTGATGGCCCAACGGGTCATTTCTGGCCCACAGGCCACAATTTGGAAACCACTAATAAAAGAAAATTTCAGTCACCGATGAAAATTTTATGATCGGGGAGATTGCGTAATTGATTCTTACTTCTTCAAGAATTCTTTGCTTTGAATTAACTGAAGGATTTAACTACGAGTGCTCATCTCATTGCAGGCACAGGGAGCTTTCTACGTGTAGCTGGCATGAGTACCTGGAAGTCTCAGTCTGGTTTGGGTGACAGATAAACTTGGCGCTAATTGCCCACACGAGTCATGTATCCAGCTGACCAAAGCGAACCCAACATGATTGTTAAGAGACTTTAGCTTTACAAGTCTATCGTTCTTTGCGCTCTGTTTAATCACTGGTTTGGTTTCATTGGACCAAGCTTACATCAGCTTGTAATCACAGCTCCCAATGGTAAGAGCTGCTCATGCCTAGCTGAGTTACTGGCAGTTAAGCAATGCACTTCTAGTTGATAGTGGGCACGAATCCGCTTGTGTAATGTGTACACAACTTAAATACAAGGAAAGTTTTGAAAGCCTCATTTGAATTTTATATAGGCTGCACATGCATGAAAAATGACCACTTGTAACTGAATGCATTAAATTATAATCGTCGCACTGCCTGGGGAGATCAGGGGAAAATAGAGAGAAAATAAAGGAATTTGATACCCTGACAACGACACAATTTTCCAGAAAATGCCTATAAATACCACAGCAGAAATATAGGTACCAGGAAAGCGGTTTCAGAATGTCCCTGATCTAAGCCAACCATCTACAATACCTTTGAACCGAGTCCTTGGTAGCAGTTGGTTCAGTTTCCATTCCTGCATTGCCAAAAAAAAAATTGCAATTGTTGCCATCAATCATCTGTGTTTTGTGGGCACTTTATGCATTGTCTTCCAAACTGAATAATGGGAGAAGTTGACACACCTACTGTGGTACGAATATGTCATAAAACTCTATGTACAGCCTAGGTTTGAATAAACACTACACCACATAAATATGTATGTTTTAAATATGTTCATAAATGGTGCCAGAAGTAATGATGGGAAATTTCCTGCATACCAATAAGCCTCCCTCTGCACTTGCGGTCTGCTGCAGTGAAGTGAACGATTTATAGTTAGGGCTAGTGACATCCCTTGAGAAGTAATTGACTCCCTTGGTCTTGGCACAGCAATTACCGTTGGAGCATATGATTCACGGATGGCCATTCAAAGTTTGTAGAAGTGAGTGGATTTTCTTGCAAATATATAGAGGCCACAAGTTGTGTCCCTAAGGGCAGAGAAGATAGAATGCACTGTTCTTGAATGCATACTCTTATTACATTTTAATATTGCAATCCAGTTGAGGTCTGTCATTGCGGATCTGCCCCAGAATCAGAAAATCTGATTAGAATCACAGTTTCAATTTAATTCTGAATCAATCTTCTATAATTGTAATAACGTTTACAGAAATTACCAAATTACCAAAGGCTTTGCAAAATCGAAAGGATGCTGACTTAATTCAAAAGCCCTTGAGTACTCGAAGCTTTCATTCTAATGAGTAAGGCTGTGGCTGAAGGCAACTTGAATAAAATTCGGAAACAAGTTTTGATCGTTCACTTCATGAGAACACATACATTGGAGAGTGGAACCCTGAGCTAAGACTCCTACAATTAGTGTACCACACAATCTGCAAGTACACTCTGTAACCCAACTATAGCGAGAAATTGGACCTAGGTCCCGATTTACATCTATGCATCATTTCACAGCATCCAGAATTGGGCAAATTCTTTAACATGGCCTTAATTTTGAAGCCGATTTATTCTGAGTTCTTTCGAGAACTAAGCCAGACTCCGAAGTTGAGACTGAATTTAACAATCAGACCCTCTAAAATGCTCCATAAGTTGAGTAAATCTAGACCAGGTGAGTAAATCTCACCAATAACAATTAACCTATGTTTAACAGTTGCTGTTTATAAGCTGATACGTCAGTACAATAAGGCAAGCAATAATAATCAGAGCAGAGGACTGGGTAACGTGTTTTCTAGGCAACAAGATGGAAACTCTGACGAATTCAGGGTATGATTACGATACTGTTAACATGAGCTACATGCACACTATATCTGGTTAGCAACAGATTTTCCAGATACAGTAGGACAATTGGAAAATATCAATTGCTGTGTGAAACATGAGAGACTCTGAGCTTCTCGGGTCAAAGACGTGGTGGTGGAAACAGATTCAATAATAACTTTCTATAGGGAATAGGATATGTACTTGAAAAGGAAGCGTTTGCAGTGCCATGGGGTAAGAGCGGAGGAGTGGGATTAGTTAGATAGCCCTTTTAAAGAGCCAACACAGGCGCAATGGGCCGAATGGCTGCCTTCTGTGCTGTAAGATTCTATGAATCAGGTCAATGCAGCGCTAGAATGCTCTCAAAGTACACGTTGAGCAAAAGTAGATTTGTGCACAAACATATGAACTGCATATGTGGCCAAATGCCAATGTTAAAAAAATCTCATTGTCTTCACAGTGACAACAAGTAGCTTTGAACGTCTTTGAAAATAATGCAGGACACATTTATTGTCAGAAAAAACAATTCCTCCCAGATTTCAGCTGCAGGCTAAAAAGGAGAGAAATGCATCTGGTTTCACTTATTTTTCCGTGCTGAGCAATGCTAAAAGGAAACACACAGGAAGATTTGAGTAAAATGTAGAAATAATGCAGCAGCAAAGCACATTGATACTGTTACTTTCTGTAGTGTTAACAAGAATGCTTTTAAGAGTATGTTTACCTTTGAGGGAGCTTGTGTGAAATAATAAAGCTCAAGACAAGTATTATGTTTTTAAGATTAGAATAAGTAGTGTAATAAGTTGTCACTGTTCAAAAACATTGAAAGCAGATTAAATAGGGACGTAACCCTGGAGACAGTCAGGACACAGTTGTTTGACTCGTGTGAAAGTCTGGGAACTCCTGGGTGTCAAATGCATATAAATTACGATTCTCTATCATATAAGTGAAAGAATGTTTGGAACTCAAGCATCACCGGTAAGACATCCTGTTTTTTTTATTAGACTGAAAGATCCGTAGAATCTCTGTACAGCTTGTAGATTAATTACAGAGTCAATTATTCAGTGATAACTAGTTCAAGCCTATCAACATATTTATTTTGTCTACTCAAATATTGCTTTGGGCAGATAGGTAAATATTATTTGACTTAATTGAACAATATTTTTTATTTTGATTGCTTGCAATTGAATTTTTCTTTAAAAATTGTCTTTCGTAAAGAAAGACACTCCCTCGAAATTGTAATGGATTGCTTTTTAACCCTTTATTCGCTCAATAAGAAACAGAACTTCATGTGGGTTTTGTGGCAAATGTTAAGTACTTTAAGGGATAAAATCATTGCTCATATTTCTTCTTGCAAACCTGTATGAATGATCGCACTGCACCTTATGCAAGCAGATGAGTAATCCTTTATCTCACTGTAAGAAATGACCTTGTGGCTCATCAAGTACTCATTAAGTACTCATTAAACAATCAATCGCTCAATAAACTTGCATGGGATTATATCACATCACAAAACTCATATTTAATAATATCACATTGCAGTAGATGTAACAGAACAGAACAAGCATCAGTGCCCAATCTCTGAACGATATTTGAGCATCTGAAATTTGTAATTTAATAAAATTTGCAAATAAGATTACTGTAATAAGGAGGAAGGAGTCACTGGCTAGATACAATCTCGAGGATTATATTACATGTCTAAGTACCATCATGGATTCAAATATTATCTGATACTATATCACTGATGGCTTACCCACCATCGGAGGTCGTACTTTCAGCCACTACACCCCGAAACACTGGAACACTCTCCCTCAATCCCTCTCCCCTTTTTTCAAGTCCTGCCTGAAAACCTTCCTCTTCGACCGTGCTTACGGCCACCCCCCCACTGCTCACGCCCCCCAGTTCTGCCACTGTCAAATGCTCTTGAGATGCTACCCTGGGTGGAGGGCGCTATATAAGTGCAAGTTGATGTTGTTTACCATTTTTAAACCTTCCAACTTTCTGTATTCCAAATCAGCATGTTTATAAGAATTTGTTGTTGGATGTATGAAATATGAATT